GATCCGTCCCTCCTCCACCACTCCATCCAATAATCATCCTCTCTCTTCCCTTTCTCAAACATCATCCTCCTTTCCACATCTTTACAAAAAATATTGCATCCTCTTCAGCTCTTTATCCCTCTTTTCCTCCATTACCATCATCTCCTCATCCACACCCTCCTTTTCTCAGACTCATTCCAGCCCCTTCTACTGATTCTTCTTCCTCTGTTCAAAATACTTTTTCTAGTTTTCTCTTCTGTTTAATTGTTTCCTCTACTTTCTAATTTCCCCAGTGCACGTTCAAGTCTAGGTCTAATTTAAAATCCTCCTCCTCACCTATAAAGCTCTTCATGGTCAGGCCCCTTCATATCTTAAAGAGCTCATAGTACCCTATTACCCCACTAGAACACTACGTTCTCTGAATGCTGGGCTACTTGTGGTTCTTATAGTCTCTAAAAGTAGAACAGGAGCCAGAGCCTTCAGTTACCAAGCTCCTCTCCTGTGGAACCAGCTTCCAGTTGTGGTTCGGGAGGCAGACACCCTCACCACATTCAAGAGTAGGCTTAAGACATTCCTCTTTGATAAAGCTTATAGTTAGGGCTGGATCAGGTGAGTCCTGAACCATCCCTTAGTTATGCTGCTATAGGCCTAGACTATCGGGGGATTTCCCATGGTGCACTGAGCTCCTCTCTTCCTCTCTCTTTCTGCACTCATTCATGTTCCATTAATGCATGTTACTAACTTCACTTCTTCCCCGGAGTTCTTGTGCTTTCTCGTCTCGCAGGTTCTCATCGATCCTGGTGGAGCCTCATTATTATTATTATTATTATTATTATTATTATTATTATAATTAGTATTCATTCCCCATCGTTGCTAGTACAGTTGTTGTTAAAATGATTAAAGCTGTCTGACCATTTCTTTCTCCCCTTCTCATCTTCCTCTTTTTCTTTACCTTCATTCCAAATTAGTTTTTTCTCAAACCACTCCCTCCATCTGCTTCTTCTCTGGCATTAACTTCAAATCTCCCTTTTTTTCTCCTTCTGTTTATTCTTTTCATCTCTAGACATCTCCACCCTCCTCCTCCTTTGTTCCTTGTTTGTTCCTCTCACCACCCTCTCTTCTTATTCTGCAACCTCTTCATCCATTTGTCATTTTCCTTTCCTTCCTCCTCATCTTCTTCTCCTCATTTCCAAACAATGCCTCCTCAGAGTCCCCCCTTCCTTTCCTTCCCCTCATCACACCTTGTCCCATTCATCTAACTCTTCTTTTCTCTCTTCTCACTTCACTCCTCCCTCATCTGTTCCTTTCTCTCTCTCTCTCTCTCTCTCTCTCTCTCTCTCTCTCTCTCTCTCTCTCTCTCTCTCTCACCAGACAGCTGTGATATTTAGTGAGCATTCATCAGCATCCACAGTAAACCCATCCCTCTTCAGGGCTCGTTAGAAATCTGTTGTATTGTTCAGCTTGTGCACCACGCTGTCAAGTAAGTTGGTTCTCTGCTTGCGGCGAAATTTCAGAGGAAAACGACTTGAAAGGAATTCTCAAAACAGAAAAAAAAAGTCTCCCGCTGCCCGTGTTCACGTCTCCTGACCAATTCACGAATGTACGTCATCTTGTTTACGACCAGATGGGATCTCCAGTACGGGAACGTGAATTTTACTGTTTGAATGTTAGATCTCACCAAAGGAATGCTGGTGACATGTCCTTCCACTTTAAGTTTCTGTTTTAGAAGATTATCTTTATCAATCCCCAATGGCGAAATTCTTCTTTTAATTTGATTTCTTTACTAAAATCTCTCTAAACTGTGTTTTGTGGCTGTCCAGCTGCTAATATCTAGAAGAGAGGAAGGAGGAGCTGATCAACATCTTGATACATCTGGAAAGTCATGCAGATGTGTAAAATTGGTGGAGTTCCTCTCTAAGCAGGTAATATATTACGTATCCTACCAATACACCATTATTATGGAAAGAAAAATAAATGTTAAATTGAGGAACTTATAGGACAAATCTCTGGTTTCTACCTGTCATTCATACAAACAGTAAAGTCTTTATCCTCTGCGGACCATCCATACAGCCATGCTAAAGGAGGAGAGAGGAAACCACTGCTCCCGAGTCTACTGGTGTAGATTTCTGCTGTGTTCGGAAAAAAGCTGATGTATGTAGATGTGGCAAAGCCAAGATGCCGGAGGGGCTATTGATATCTGTATATGGGATATATAGAGAGGTTTCTTGTACTCTGCACTTTCCATTGATTCTGTGTCCTGGTTGATGTCATTTGATCTCAGCTGGTACTGGATCAGTTACCAGAACCCACAATTTAAACTCTGAGCATCTCAGGAATGGACTATTCTGGTCATATGAGGACTTGTGATACTTTATTAGAAAAATGTGTTCTGAATGTGGCTACTGTAGGAGCTGTAGCAGTTCAACGTGGTGGACTCCATAGAGGAGGACATTATATCATAATGAAAACATACCTAATACTATTCTCCATTTCTGACAATAGATCCTCCTCAGTGTTACACACTGGATCTTTTTTATAAGATACTTAAGTGATCCATCACAAATTCAATTCTAAATTTAATATTATATATATTATAGTTATTATATATATTATAGTTTGAAATGAGCTTCCAATGTTGATCACTGAAATCAGAAACATAATTTGTGATTCTCCCAGTACTCGTTTTCTCTCCACCTCAGCCTGCTCACACACACCCACCACGTCTGAAAATACAAACAAAACTTCAGAGCCAGCGCAGATGCACTGGAGCTGGAGATGTAGTGGAACATTCGCTTTCATAAAGGAGTAAGAATATTGTCTTTTTTTGCAATAAAGACAAAACCCAGAATATGTTGTGCTTTTAAACATAGTCACCAAAAACTAGACAGTGATTGGAGCAGCACACACCAGAATGCTTAGTTTAAAATGCACTATTCCACTAAACATTCATTTATACTTTCCTTTCCTTTAAAAGCCACATTACTTTTTATAAAAGGGGAGAGAAGAGAGTGCCACATCTTTGTATTTAATTAGGGAATGTAATGTTCAAGTTTCTACCACCTATTCACCGCAGATATTTCCACCACTTCTCATCAGGGTCATCCCGGGAGGGGAGTCATCGCTTACTCCTCCCCCTGGTTTGAGCCTCCTAATGGATTTCATTGGACCTCCCATGATTCCACATTAATATTTAATCAGCGCTCCATTTCCTGCCTATATCAGTGTGAAAGCCCGTCCACCATCACTGCTGTTAACGCTGCCGTTGGATTACAAACGGGAGAGGCTGTGTGTGCTGGAGAGACACAGCTGTAAAGGAAAGGAAGGCAGAGAGAGAGAGACAGATAACGAGAGAAAGACGGGCCGATAGTTTTCATAATCAAAGGCCACACACTGGGGAAACTCTGAATCACCCGTAGAGCATCTAATGAGTGGAATTTAGTCCATTGATTGCAGCAGTAGTCTGAGCTGGTTTACACAATAAACTTTAATATCACAGGAACAGGCCTGTGATGTCAGCTGGGTTTGGCCAGTGGTTATACATAATGGATGGATGGATGGATGGATGGATGGAAAGTGATCAGCTGACAAATGGCTGCTTTTCTTAAAGAATGACAGAAGAAATGTCACCATGCTGGAGTTTGATATGGGTCTAGGTTTTTGGCCCTCCAGTGGCAACCAGACCCCTTTTTAATGTCGTTAGCTTAGTCAGGGTTGGTTTGTGCACTGGAAGAGCAGTCTATAGTCTCAGCAATTACTTTTATTTTTTAAAGTTTAGATTATTATTTAAGATATAAAGACCTGAACACAAGCCAGATTCACAGAGACTTCCCTCCCTGATAAACAGCCTCGTCCTGCATTGGAAAGGTTCAACAGGTACACAGGAAACAATCTGTTCAGAATTGTGTTTTTATGCATTGAATATAATATGAAATATCCATTAAATATGTCACTGTCAGTTCACTCAATGATAGAAAAGGGGACCCTTGTTTCCATAGGACAGGCTGGAAACCATTGCTCTAGAGGGCATTTCATCACTCTGGTTGCCTGTCAGCATTCCCCACTGGCTCTCCCCCTGGGCCTGAAAACTTCCTCCAAAGTCTGAAGCTCATTTACTAAAGTATAAATATACCAACACTCCCCTTTGAGCCTTGAGCTCCGAGTCCAGGCAGCACGGACTTAGCTGTTAACTTTCTTTAGCAACAAGTAAAGCTTTCCGTCCATCAGGAAACTGTAAAGGACAGAGTTGAGGAAGAGGAGCCGGAATTAGTGACATGATGGTGTGTGACTTGTGCTCCGACCCGAAAGAACAGCAGTACGGAGGCACTATCCACCCTGTTGCAGTCAGTGTGGCATCGACATTATTCTGAAGCTTTCATTTTAAAGTAGAAAAGTGACATAATGGGGCTTTAATTAACACAACCACTTTGCCACAATGATGGAGACAAAAGAGACACCAGCAGGCCTGAATACTCTCTGCCTGCCGGTTACTTTCAGGCTTTAAGGTGTCCAGAAACAAGTGTGTCAGTTTAATTAACGTCAGTGTCTGAGTGAGTTCAGTCTCAGTTAAATCCTGTGTCTGTTCTCCACATAGCTCTGGAATGGAAACCTGCAGCCTGCTGTCGCCTTTCCTTTTCCATGCCTGCACTGCCCCCCTGTGTTCACACATGCCCTGTGCTGAAGTCAGTTATAAGTAGGATATCAAACAATGAGAAAACACATTGGAGTGGACACAATAATGTGAATGCAGATTAATGCAACCCACGGCAACAGAGCTCATTCTCATTAATCATCTGACAGTGGTGCTTTTTATGACTCAGCTTCTATATGAGACTGCATTATATACAGGTTGCCTTGCAGCATAAATCATCAATAAATTAAATCCTGCTTGTTTACTAAAGATTTATAATAATAATAAATAATAATGCATTTTATTTATAGAGCACTTTTCACTCAAAGACACTTCACATAAGTTAAAAAGGAAGAAAAAGGTAATAAAAACAACACACTAAAAAAACAATGAATTGATGTTTGTTTTTTAATGATTAAAATAATATCATACACATTGATAGTGCAGATTGTATTGGATACGGCTCAATATGTTTGACTTCTCATATCTCATATTTAAATGCATTTAAAATGGTGACACACTGTCACAGTATAGCAGTAAAACTCATATCTTGATACATATTCTTACTAAAGAAAATGTTTTTCTTTAGTTTTCTTATGAAATTCAACACAAGAGAATTATATTCTCTAAAACAATCTTTAAAACAGTTTTTACATTTTATTTCTGTGAATGTTTTTTCAGATTCAGTGCTGAGCTGTACTTATAATGTATATACATAATGAGAACAAATTGTAGACAGGTGTGCATATAAACATATATACTGTGGATAAATATGTGATAAGGGTCCAAAGTTAGACCAAGTAATACCTGCCAGCTTTATGTTAAGAGACAATGATTTCTGAAACACTACATTAATGTAACGTGGTGTTTGTGGAGGCGGCGGAAACGTGTGGAAACGTATTTGCTGCTGCAGATTAGTCGTATAAAAACCTAATTTCTAGGAGACAGAGCTGAAGTCGCCATTGGTAGGACTCCTCCCCACTTTGTACTACAAAACCAGGTCAACATACCCAGGATATCTTATAGTTATCTGGCTTCACCATCCCTAACATTTGAGACTAAGCAGTAACATGAATTTACCCAGGGTTCCTCAATCCAGCTATGAACATGTTCATAAAAGGGGCAGTGTTTACAGCACGACAGAGGATTCTATTAAAATAAGGTGATGCTTAGATGTATTCTTATACTTAAAGAATAATAAAACATTCATATAAAACATTGTCATATAAAAGCAAAGGACTTTGTTGATCTCTGAACACTCTTTCCCTCAGGAGAGCCCCTCTCACAGCACTTAATCCTGAACGTACTTCTATAACCCAAATCCTGCTCAGTTGTACAGGCCCCTGTGTCTCCTTCGCTCTCTGTATTTCCTGTAAAGATGAAAACAACAACAGTCATCTTCACATCAACTCAAACACATGATCACAAAAAGCTTCTGGCTGATCTGATTGGCTGACTGTTCTCTCTCTGTCTGTCTGTCTGTCCAATCCTGAAGCCTGTCATCATTCTCCTCTCACAGCTTCACTGAGGAAAGCAGCAAACACTGGATCTTATCTTTCATACTAACTGTGTTTATTACAATGGACTCCAACACTCTACTGACCTCAGAGTCTCCAGTGGATTTGACATAAAACCATCCAAGTTCTCTCCTGAATCCTCCAGGTCGGAGTTTCCACTCAGCTCCAGCCGTCTCAGATGGGAGGGATTGGACTCCAGAGCCGAGATCAGATAATCTATACTGATCTCTGTCAAACTGCAGCAACTCAATCTGAAAGAATGAATGATACAACTTCAGAAAACAATGGGGCTCATTCAGAAACATTCTCTTAAATTTCTCTTAATAATTAATTCATTAATCTTCTGATAGGAGGAAATGTAAGAGATGTCAACTCCAGATGCCTCAAACATTCTTAACCCTCCAAATCTGCTCTTAATAGACTCTTATGATGGATCCATTTCATTCATGTTTGATCATAAATTGGAGGCATGGTAAATGCACCTATATAGTGCCCATCTAATCTTATGACCACTCAAAGCACACTACATGTCACACACACCCCTTCACTCACATTCAGACACTGATGGCACAGAACACAGCAGCAATTTGGGGATAGAGCGATCAACCTAGGAATGTTAGGTAGATATAGAGATAGTTTTATACTTCAAATAATTCAGTGTTTTATAATCTGTTCAGAGCTAATGATTATAGAAGTTTAGAGAATGGAAACATAACCCAACAGGATGCAGGTTGAAACCTGTGAAAAAGAGCTCTCATTAATATTAATGACAACGTGCTGCTGCTTCAATAAAGACGTAGTGACTTCAGCTCTTAACCTCTGCCAGCTCCACCAGTGGCTCCATCTATACAAACTCATGTTGTGCAGCCAAACACAAAGAAAAAGCCACAGAAACTGATTGAAGATTCCACTATAGATACTAAATATGTCAGGATGATATCTACAATATTTCTTTTAGGAATAGTGGAGTCATAAAATCAGAGCATCTTCAGTTTAAACTATTCAGTCAGTAGAAGCAACATATGGCTTCATAACATTGTTAGAAAAAGAAAATACTGAAAATATTTGTTATTATCTGATATAATGTTCATAGTGATGTTTTCATTAAAAAACAGACTTTACCATTAAGATACTCAGTGTGGATTAGTATAATATCAGCCTTATGTCTGCACTTTACTGTCAGCACAACTTTAACATCATATTAATCTCAGCACAGAAATAAAAAATGGTGTCTGACCTCAGAGTCTCCAGTCTACAGTGTGGACTCTCCAGAAAACCACACAGCAGCTTCACTCCTGAATCCTGCAGCTTGTTGTCACTCAGGTCCAGCTCTCTCAGATGGGAGGGGTTGGACTTCAGAGCTGAGACCAGAGAAGAACAGCTGATCTCTGACAACCTGCACCAACTCAATCTGAATAAAGAATAAAAGATGTGAGTTTAGAAGACAATGTTCCTGCTTGAAATCATTCAGTGTTTAATAATCTGTTCAGAGCTGAAGAAGGTTTACAATGTACAAGTTTAGAAAATGGAAACTCCAAACACCTGAACCCAACAGGATGCAGGTTGCAAACTGTAAAATACAAAGAGTGAAAAAGAGCTCTCATTAATATTAATGACAACGTGCTGCTGCTTCAATAAAGACGTAGTGACTTCAGCTCTTAACCTCTGCCAGCTCCACCATCTATACAAACTCATGTTGTGCAGCCAAACACAAAGAAAAAGCCACAGAAAGTGATTGAAGGTTCAACTCAAGATCTCAAAGATACTAAATATGTCAGGATGATATCTACAATATTTCTTTTAGGAATAGTGGAGTCATAAAATCAGAGCATCTTCAGTTTAAACTATTCAGTCAGTAGAAGCAACATATGGCTTCATAACATTGTTAGAAAAAAGAAAATACTGAAAATATTTGTTATTATCTGATATAATGTTCATAGTGATGTTTTCATTAGTGAATAATCACCTGAAGAATCGTTGTGTTTATGTTAGAATGAGCAGTTTTTATCTATCTATCTATCTATCTATCTATCTATCTATCTATCTATCTATCTATCTATCTATCTATCTATCTATCTATCTATCTATCTATCTATCTATTTCAAGCATTTCACAGCCACTGTAGTCTACACCACTAGATGTCACTAAATCTTACACACTACCATTCTACAACTACCTCTCATACTACCACACCACCATTATGATATCCAGTGTGGATCAGTATAATATCAGCCTTATGTCTGCACTTTACTGTCAGCACAACTTTCACATCACATTCATCTCAGCACAGAAGAAAAAATGGTGTCTGACCTCAGAGTCTCCAGTCTACAGTGTGGACTCTCCAGAAAACCACACAGCAGCTTCACTCCTGAATCCTGCAGGTTGTTGTTACTCAGGTCCAGCTCTCTCAGATGGGAGGGGTTGGACTTCAGAGCTGAGACCAGATAATCACAGCTGATCTCTGACAAACTGCAGTAAATCAATCTGAATAAAGAATAAAAGATGTGAGTTTAAAAGACAATGTTCCTGCTTGAAATCATTCAGTGTTTAATAATCTGTTCAGAGCTGAAGAAGGTTTACAATGTACAAGTTTAGAAAATGGAAACTCCAAACACCTGAACCCAACAGGATGCAGGTTGCAAACTGTAAAATACAAAGAGTGAAAAAGAGCTCTCATTAATATTAATGACAACGTGCTGCTGCTTCAATAAAGACGTAGTGACTTCAGCTCTTAACCTCTGCCAGCTCCACCAGTGGCTCCATCTATACAAACTCATGTTGTGCAGCCAAACACAAAGAAAAAGCCACAGAAAGTGATTGAAGGTTCCACTCAAGATCCCAAAGATACTAAATATGTCAGGATGATATCTACAATATTTCTTTTAGGAATAGTGGAGTCATAAAATCAGAGTATCTTCAGTTTAAACTATTCAGTCAGTAGAAGCAAGATATGGCTTCATAACATTGTTCGAAAAAGAAAATACTGAAAATATTTGTTATTATCTGATATAATGTTCATAGTGATGTTTTCATTAGTGAATAATCACCTGAAGAATCGTTGTGTTTATGTTAGAATGAGCAGTTTTTATCTACAGATAGGGCCTTTCACCTTCTTCAAGCATTTCGCAGCCACTGTAGTCTACACCACTAGATGTCACTAAATCTTACACACTACCAGGGACCGCTGGTATGGGCTAACAGGGCTAATCCCTGCCTATCTTTTACAGTAAAGATGAAAAACTATTATTAAAAACCTCAGGACATATTGTTTTGAGCAGCAACAGCACCAAACTGTGACAGAAAAAACCCAGGATATATGATATATCTTAGGTTTTTCCTGTGAATGGGCTAAATTCATTCAGTCCAAGCACAGGTAAGCTTCCATTCGATTGTGATTGACAGGTGTCCTGACACGCCCCCTTCATATGCTGCCCATTTGGGCTAAATTCATTCAGCCCAAAGGCTGACCTTCGGCCAATCACAGCGCAGTAACCACAGTACAGTGACCTTCGGCCAATCACAGCGCAGTAACCACAGTACAGTGACCTTCGGCCAATCACAGCGCAGTAACCACAGTACAGTGACCTTCGACCAGTCACAGCGCAGTAGCCACAGTACAGTGACCTTCGACCAGTCACAGCACAGTAGCCACAGTACAGTGACGTGACCTTCGACCAGTCACAGCGCAGTAGCCACAGTACAGTGAGGCTAGTTCGTAGTAGAACGTGGAGAGAGGGAAGTTAGCAACTGTGGTAATGGCGGGCGTTAGCATGAACATGAACGAGGTGGATTATTTACTTTCTAATCAATTTTCTTTAAAGTCTTTGGAGGAAAAATTGGAAGTACAGAGACTGGGAACACATCATCCAAACGATGCTCAAGTTTGCAGGCCTAACATCCGCAATGTCACTGTTGAGGATGACTGAGAACAATTTTCAGAGCACTTTTTCTGAAACACTGAAAGTAACGCAAATAGCCATCACAACCCCGATTACATCTGCAGAGTCAGAGAGGTGTTTCAGTTCACGGAGGAGGATCAAATCCTTTCTTAGGAGTACAATGGGACAGGACAGGCTAAACACACTGGCTATGCTGTCCATTGAGCGGGACTTCATCCAAAAATCTGCAGACTTTAATGACATGGTGATTAACCTGTTTGCGGCACAGAAAGGCCGTCAGTGTGAGCTGCTTTTTAAAAAAGGTATGCCCAAGCTCTGAAACAACTCTCCCTATTACAAATACTGTTATTTTTGCTTTGGTTTTGTAGATTTATTTTTGGTACATGGTGTTGCTGGTACTTTTCTATAATGTAGTTGTAGTGCAATTGGCATGTGTTGATGTAGAAAGAGAGAGAGAGAGAGAGAGAGAGATTTTTTTGGCATCAGGTCATTCCGTTAGGTTTGTCTCCCCAGTGTTGCAGTAGAGCACTTGCTATAACAAAGTATACCATGTTGTTGCTGTAACTTGATGTGATGCTGCTGTGTGACATAGTGATGAGTGTAATGCATTTGTTAGCCCACCCAGCGAAAATCCCCACCAGCTGTCACTGCACACTACCACTCTACAACTACATCTCACACTACCACACCACCATTAAGATACTCAGCATGGATCAGTATAATATCAGCCTTATGTCTGCACTTTACTGTCAGCACAACTTTCACATCACATTCATCTCAGCACAGAATAAAAAATGGTGTCTGACCTCAGAGTCTCCAGTCTACAGTGTGGACTCTCCAGAAAACCACACAGCAGCTTCACTCCTGAATCATACAGCTTGTTGTCACTCAGGTCCAGCTCTCTCAGATGGGAGGGGTTGGACTTCAGAGCTGAGACCAGAGAAGAACAGCTGATCTTTGACAACCTGCAGCTCTTCAATCTGAATAAAGAATAAAAGATGTGAGTTTAGAAGACAATGTTCCTGCTTGAAATCATTCAGTGTTTAATAATCTGTTCAGAGCTGAAGAAGGTTTACAATGTACAAGTTTAGAAAATGGAAACTCCAAACACCTGAACCCAACAGGATGCAGGTTGCAAACTGTAAAATACAAAGAGTGAAAAAGAGCTCTCATTAATATTAATGACAACGTGCTGCTGCTTCAATAAAGACATAGTGACTTCAGCTCTTAACCTCTGCCAGCTCCATCAGTGGCTCCATCTATACAAACTCATGTTGTGCAGCCAAACACAAAGAAAAAGCCACAGAAACTGATTGAAGGTTCCACTATAGATACTAAATATGTCAGGATGATATCTACAATATTTCTTTTAGGAATAGTGGAGTCATAAAATCAGAGTATCTTCAGTTTAAACTATTCAGTCAGTATAAACATCATATAGCTTCATAAATATGTTGGAACAAGAGAATACTGAATATATTTGTTATTATCTGATAGTTGAAATAGAGATTACTTATATTAATACATAATATTCTGTTTATAAACATACATTTTATGTATGTGGTTTTTTATCATTCATTTAAATATAATGATGTGGATTATACAATGAAAACCATAAGTTTAAAAGGTTCAGAGGGAATTATCCTGTTAGCTCAACATTGCTTTGCCACAGTCACTGAAATAAACCACTGAATAAAAAACAGACTTTACCATTAAGATACTCAGTGTGGATCAGTATAATATCAGCCTTATGTCTGCACTTTACTGTCAGAACAACTTTAACATCATATTAATCTCAGCACAGAAGAAAAAATGGTGTCTGACCTCAGAGTCTCCAGTCTACAGTGTGGACTCTCCAGAAAACCACACAGATTCACTCCTGAATCCTGCAGCTTGTTGTCACTCAGGTCCAGCTCTCTCAGATGGGAGGGGTTGGACTTCAGAGCTGAGACCAGAGAAGAACAGCTGATCTCTGACAAACTGCAGTCCCTCAATCTGAATAAAGAATAAAAGATGTGAGTTTAGAAGACAATGTTCCTGCTTGAAATCATTCAGTGTTTAATAATCTGTTCAGAGCTGAAGAAGGTTTACAATGTACAAGTTTAGAAAATGGAAACTCCAAACACCTGAAGCCAACAGCAGGTTGAAAACTGTAAAATACAAAGAGTGAAAAAGAGCTCTCGTTAAAATTAATGACAACGTGCTGCTGCTTCAATAAAGACGTAGTGACTTCAGCTCTTAACCTCTGCAGCTCCACCAGTGGCTCCATCTATACAAACTCATGTTGTGCAGCCAAACACAAAGAAAAACCCACAGAAAGTGATTGAAGATTCCACTATAGATACTAAATATGTCAGGATGATATCTACAATATTTCTTTTAGGAATAGTGGAGTCATAAAATCAGAGTATCTTCAGTTTAAACTATTCAGTCAGTAGAAGCAACATATGGCTTCATAACATTGTTCGAAAAAGAAAATACTGAAAATATTTGTTATTATCTGATATAATGTTCATAGTGATGTTTTCATTAGTGAATAATCACCTGAAGAATCGTTGTGTTTATGTTAGAATGAGCAGTTTTTACCTACACATAGGGCCTTTCACATTTTTAAAGCATTTCGCAGCCACTGTAGTCTACACCACTAGATGTCACTAAATCTTACACACTACCATTCTACAACTACCTCTCATACTACCACACCACCATTATGATATCCAGCGTGGATCAGTATAATATTAGCCTTATGTCTGCACTTTACTGTCAGCACAACTTTCACATCATATTCATCTCAGCACAGAAATAAAAAATGGTGTCTGACCTCAGAGTCTCCAGTCTACAGTGTGGACTCTCCAGAAAACCACACAGATTCACTCCTGAATCCTGCAGCTTGTTGTTACTCAGGTCCAGCTCTCTCAGATGGGAGGGGTTGGACATCAGAGCTGAGACCAGATAATCACAGCTGATCTCTGACAAACTGCAGTTGATCAATCTGAATAAAGAATAAAAGATGTGAGTTTAGAAGACAATGTTCCTGCTTGAAATCATTCAGTGTTTAATAATCTGTTCAGAGCTGAAGAAGGTTTACAATGTACAAGTTTAGAAAATGGAAACTCCAAACACCTGAACCCAACAGCAGGTTGAAAACTGTAAAATACAAAGAGTGAAAAAGAGCTCTCATTAATATTAATGACAACGTGCTGCTGCTTCAATAAAGACATAGTGACTTCAGCTCTTAACCTCTGCCAACTCCACCAGTGGCTCCATCTATACAAACTCATGTTGTGCAGCCAAACACAAAGAAAAAGCCACAGAAAGTGATTGAAGATTCAACTCAAGATCCCAAAGATACTAAATATGTCAGGATGAATTTTGGACAAAAGTGAACAGATGACTCACATTAAATCTACATTTTCATTTCATGTGATGGTTTATTTAAGAAGCATGGTGTGTCAGCACACAATAAATTAAACGCTTGGAAGCTGGATATAAAAGAAGATATTCATGAGACGGATTGGAATGACGCTTGTTTAAAAGCACAAACACAGACAATAAATACAAGGTTTAAATTACTCCAATATAAGTGGCTTATGAGGATGTATATTACTCCTGTCAGGCTTCATCGTATGTCTGCTAATATTCCTGATGTGTGTTCTAAATGCTTGACTGAGAAGGGTACTCTATTTCACTGTCTATGGGAATGTCTAAAGACCCAGGATTTTTGGAAGGATGTTTTAAAATGTTTGTCAGACTTGTTTAACACTAAAGTCCCTTTAAATGCCGGGCTCTGTTTGCTTGGAATATATCCGAAGAACTTTAAACAGACATTGAAACAGACTAAACTATTGGACTTTGCACTTCTTCAAGCCAGGAGGGCTATTGGCTATTGTTGGAAAAGTATGGAAGCACCATCACTACAGATGTGGATAAAGGAACTATCGCAATGTATTGGTCTGGAAAGACTAACTTACATTGCTGAGGGCAATACTTTGTTAAGCTTTGGGAACCATATATGAATATAATTAAAGATGGAAAGGTGGGCTCTACCTGAAAGAAAATTGAAAATGATGATGGAAAATATTTATTTTATTTTATTTATATTTTACCTTAGATTGGTGCAAGGGGATGAGGGTATGTGTGTGTGAGTATGTGTGGCTGGGTAATGTGAATATGTGTAGTCTCAAATTGTATTGTTACTGTATGTTTTACTGTTGGGTTGTTATAAGAAAATGACAATAAACATATTGTGGAAAAAAAAGAAGCATGGTGTGTTTTGTTTTAATATTTCACTCAGTATTGCTTTTGTGAATTATTCAATGTGGACTCAGTAAAATATCAGACTTATGTCTGCACTTTACTGTCAGCACAACTTTCACATCATAGTAATCTCAGCACAGAAATAAAAAATGGTGTCTGACCTCAGAGTCTCCAGTCTACAGTGTGGACTCTCCAGAAAACCACACAGCAGCTTCACTCCTGAATCCTGCAGCTTGTTGTTACTCAGGTCCAGCTCTCTCAGATGGGAGGGGTTGGACTTCAGAGCTGAGACCAGATAATCACAGCTGATCTCTGACAACCTGCAGCTCCTCAATCTGAATAAAGAATAAAATATGTAGATACAAATTAATTTATAATTGGATCAGATGTGTTCAGGTTTAAAGTGACTCCCACAGTGACTTTGTCACATCATGTCATCATAATGATCACCCAAATGTCACCACAACATTCATACACACATTTATGTCAACACACATTAATACTGCTGATCTCAGTTATTTCTGTAATTAGAGGAGAATAACTATATTGATCCTTTGAACAGCTACAATTGGAAATATGCTTTGATCTCTGTGTTTTTCTGTGCAGTGGACATTTTCTACAGTTAACTGTGAGTGCAAACTTCTAGAAAGAAAAATGACAGTATGAACAAAAGGTCTGATCTTAGTGAACTCTGTGATAATTGTGTTACTTTCATTTTCTCCTATTTATTCAAACAATGATGTTTCAGTAATTGAAAAACATTAAGAGAGATGTTTTATAGAATTCCAAAATGGCCAATATGAAAAAATAAGACTTAAGTAAATATATAACTTTATAAACCTATTTAACATCTGTCCCAGCAGCTGTGAGGCTCTCACACAACCACAGCTATCTCCATCAACACACAGCCTACTGACTCATCTTTACAACTGGATTTAATGTGCAATGAGTAAAGTGAGGTCATATTCTTCTAATCTTAAATATAACCTAGTACATTTGCTAACAATTATAGTGTAGTTTGTATGATCCAGTTTAGACATTATTCATAAAAATGTGTCTCACGTGTAACAAAATGTATAAATATTGATTTAATTTTGCAGTACATTGAAGGATAAATCCTAGTTTCCTTTACATAAATCCAGAGTACAGACTAAATTTTGAGCAAAACTGTCCAGTTCTCTCAATTTCGGAAAAAATAAAAATATGTGAACTGACCTCAGATTTTCCAGTCTACAGTTTGGACTCCTTAGTCCAGCAGACAGAAGCTTCACTCCTGACTCATTCAGGCTGTTCCCACTCAGGTACAGCTCTCTCAGATGGGAGGGGTTGGACTTCAAAGCTGAGGCCATGACTTCACAGTGAGTTTCTGAGAGTCTACAGTCAGAAATTCTGTGATGACAGTAAATATAAAACACAAAGTAATAAAATCAGACACATTAACATGAGCTCAGCTCAGCTGGTCATTTACCTCAGATACGTGTGTATTATTATAATTTCATGGGTAATAGTTTTCTCAAGTGGAGGTTACCTGGCTGAAGTCAATGTTGAAAACAAGACTATAACAATATTTGTCTCATTCTTATTCCAACAAACAACAAAGAAATTTGTAGTTTAACAGATTTATAATTATTTAAATAAAAGTTAAAGTTTATATTGTGCATCTGTGTAAACTGTGTATTTCTACTCTAATAATGTTGACAATCACATCTGGACTTACACAGCCTTTCTGCAGTTCCTCACAGCTGGGATCAGTCTCCGTCGTCCCTCCTCTGATGTGTTGTACTTCTGCAGGTCCAACTCATCCAGAACCTCCTCTGACATCTGCAGCATGTAGGCCAGAGCTGAGCAGTGGATCTCAGAGAGTTCCTTCTCTGATCTGTTCTCTGACTTCAGGAACTCTTGGATCTCCTGATGGACTGAGTGGTCGTTCATCTCCATCAGACAGTGGAAGATGCTGATGCTTCTGTCAGGAGAGATATCATCACTGTTCATCTCCTTCAGGTTGTTGATGGCTCTCTGGATGGATTCAGGACTGTTGTCTGTCCGACCCAGCAGACCTCCTAAGAGTCTCTGGTTGGACTCCAGAGAGAGGCCATGGAGGAAGCGAACAAACAGGTCCAGGTGGCCATATTTACTTTTGAGGGATTTTATCATTGCTTCCCTCAGGAAGACGTCCAGAGATAAATCAACATATCCTTCTCCCAGGAAGTCCTCCAGTACCTCTGTGTTGCTGTTGGTGTAACAGTGGAACATGTAGACTGCAGCCAGAAACTCCTGAATGCTCAGATGAACAAAGCAGTAGACTGTTTTCTGGAAGATCACACTCTCTCTTTTGAAGATCTCTGTACAAACTCCTGAGTACACCGAGGCCTCTGTGACATCAAGACCACACTGCTCCAGGTCTTCTTGGTAGAACATGATGTTTCCTTTCTCCAGCTGTTCAAACGCCAGCCTCCCCAGCTTCAGAAGAACTTCCCTGTCAGCCTCCATCAGCTCCTGTGGACACGTCTCATGTCCCTCATCATACTTCTGCTTCTTCCTCTTTGTCTGAACCAACAGGAAGTGTGAGTACAGATCAGTCAGGGTCTTGGGCAGCTCTCCTCTCCGGTCTGTAGTCAACATGTGGATCAGAACTGTAGCAGTGATCCAGCAGAAGACTGGGATTAGACACATGATTTGGAGGCTCCTGGAGGTCTTGATGTGTGAGATGATTCTGCTGGACAGATCTTCATCACTGACTCTCCTCCTGAAGTACTCCTCTTTCTGGGGGTCAGTGAAGCCTCGTACTTCTGTTACCCTGTCAACACATTCAGGAGGGATCTGATTGGCTGCTGCAGGTCTGGAAGTTATCCAGACGAGAGCCGAGGGAAGCAGATTCCCCTTGATGAGGTTTGTCAACAGCACGTTGACTGAAGACTTCTGTGTGACGTCAGACACAACCTCATTGTTGTGGAATTCCAGTGAAAGTCTGCTTTCATCCAGGCCGTCAAAGATGAACAAAAGTTTACAGACAGCGAGCTGCTCTGCTGTGACCTTCTGTAATGTTGGATGGAAAACATGGAGCAGCCTGAGAAGACTGTACTGCTCATCTTTGATCAGGTTCAGCTCCCTGAACGAAAGCAGAACCACCAGACTGACATCTTGGTTCTCCAAGCTCTCTGCCCAGTCCAGAGTGAACTTCAGCACTGAGAAGGTTTTTCCAATGCCAGCGACGCCGTTTGTCAGAACCACTCTGATGTGTCTCTGTTGGTCAGGTAAGGCTTTAAAGATGTTATGGCACCTGATTGGAGTCTCATGGAAGGTCTTCTTCTTGGAAGCTGTCTCAAGCTGTCTCACCTCATGTTGGGTATTAACCTCTTCACTCTGTCCCTCTGTGATGTAGAGCTCAGTGTAGATCCTGTTGAGGAGGGTTCCACTTCCTGTTTCATCAGTTCCTTCAGTCACACGTTCACATCTCCTCCTCAGACCAATCTTATGTTCATCTAAAACCTCCTGCAGACCACCATCTGCTGAAAGAGAAGAAAAAATGTGAGAAGAAAAAAAATGATTTTACACCAATATATAAATGATGTATCTAAGAATAGAAGAAGAAGAGTAAATAACAAGCAGTGTTGTGATGTTTGAGTAAAAACTGAAAGTGTAGTTTAGCTGAGGGCAGACAGTGTTTTGTTAGCAGAGGTAGTGAATTGAGGACCATGTTAAACATCTACACTGACCACTGTTGATACTGGCTGGTTACATTTTAAGCTGTTTAATGCACTTTTGTGCTTTAACCCTGTAAGACCCAAATATAGAAAACCTTAAAAAATTATTTTACCTTCAGATGACAAATGTTTTAAAAATAATGTTTATGTATTTATAAGAAATGTTGTAATATTGCAACATTGGGCTTAGGTAGTTAAAATTTCTGTATTTGTACTCATGTTGTCTGAACAACAATTCAGATCTACTACGGGTTAGTTTGCAGGGTTATTGCTTACTTAGCCCCATAAAGGTATATAACATTAATAATAATCACACATTAGTCATATTTTTATGAAGTCATTTATTAAAAACTGTTAAACAGGATAAAACTCTAGCTTTTCTAGCAAATTCTTCATTCCTTTTTTTTTTCATGACTGACTTTCATTGTTAGTGAAAGTCCCAAAAACAGTTCTGTCCTCTGAAAAGCAAAGGCGAACATCACACTTGCTGCATTGCGTGTTGGTGTATCCTTTATTGCAGTGTCTGCAGCGTCCCCCTGTCTTCACTGGGAAATGTGCAACTAGGTCCTTGCCATCAAGGAAAGGTTAAATTTTTTTGAATGTTTTCTTTTAAGCATTCAGAGGGCTTTCTGATGTCACTATCTGTGATGCTGGGCTCCCTTGCCTGAACATGGTCATGCTCTCTTAGCAGTGCAAGTGTTGTATCTTTTCCAGGATCAGTGGATGTTTGTTTTTTTTTTTTTTTTTTTTTTTTTTTTTTTTTTTTTTTTTCTCTTGGGGGGTGAATAAACAAGGGGGGGGGGTGTTTTGGAAAAAATTTATGGGGGGGTTTTTGTGGGGTTTTTTTTTTTGTTTTTTAAAATTCTTTTTTTTTTTTTATTTTCTTTTTTTTTTGGGGGGGGGGGGGTTGGCAAGGGGCGTTTTTTTTTTTATTTTTTTTTCCCCCCCCCTTTTTTTTCCCCCCTTTTTTTTATCTTCTTCTTCTCGTTGGGGGCCCCTGGTTTCCCCGTATTATTCCCTAGGAGTTTCACTAATAATGGTACACTGAGTAGTTTTCTGCATACATTTTGTAGTTCTGACCTTCTGTGTGTGGAAGCAAGCTTCATCACAACATCACTGACAATCCAAGTTCAGATTTGGCTCGTATTCCATTGACATTGCCTTGGTAGACGTCACATTATTCCAAAAATTCCATTTTTCCCCCCCACTTTTTATCCCAATTGGTTTTTTTTTTCTTTTATATTTTTTTTGATGCTGCTGAATTTCCCCTTGATAGGATACTTTCATACTCTTGACAGCTTGTTATGCTCTCTACTTATCATGCTAAAAGAAATATGCATCCCAATCACCAGCCATTTAATGTAATTTATTTTTTTTTTTTTTTTTTTTTTTTTTAAAAAAATCTCCCCTTTCTTTCCCCCCCCCCCATTTATTTTTTTTTCTTTTCCCAAATTTTTTTTTTTTTGTTTTCCTTTTTTGGGAAATTGTTTTTTGTTTTGTAAATTTAATTACTTTTTTAAATAAAACTTTTAAATCACAAATTTGGCCAGAACACAACACAATTAGAATGTATACTGTCCATGTATTAAGAAAATACTTGTTACTGTGGCTCTTGTTGTGTCTCAGGCTGTTAAGGCCCAGTGTACATTGTAATAACAACCAAAAAAATGTAAAAGACATTTTACTTACAGAATCTGATGAATTTAGTCCAATGAAACAAAGAGATGTTGTTCGAAAGAAACCTGAGAAGTTGAGTGAGTTCGCAAAAGGCGGGACTTATAAACAAATTTACCACCAATAGCATTGTGAGACAACAAAGGACCCAATGACTATGTAAATGTGGTAAAACATAAGATAAAATATAACAGATTGTTTTAATAGAATTATTGATCTACTGTAGTCTGCAAACTGATGTTAGCAGTCCCTTTTCCTCAGTGGATGTTTGTTTGGTTGCTTGTTCAAAAGCAGGTAAGCTAATGTAGGCTGCTGTTTAAACTCTGTGGCTCTTGTTGTGTCTCAGGCTGTTAACCAGTGAGACTGTCTGTGATACAACATTGACGTTCAATAGTTCTCTATCTCCATCTATGCAGGCTGAAAACGAACACCATTCTGATTGGTTAAAGCAAACACAAGACCTACTGCTAGGTCTGCCACCAGGAGAGGATGGGGTCGCTATCATTAACCATCTGGGTTCAGATTTATATCTCAAAAGACAAGTGATACAGAGCAGATATTTATACTGAAGGAGAAAAGAAAACATGCAAATAAATTTCAGTTGGACTTAAAAAGTACTGATATATATAGATCTTGAACAGCCATAATGGACATGGTGCCGTCAGCAGACAGAGTAAACTCTTACTTTGTCTTATTCTGGGTCTTTCTCCAGACTGGGGACAGGAGGCGTCTCCTGATGAAGCAGACTGGTACCAGTATGAGGTGATGCACTGTCTGCAGAACCAGTGTCCACAGCTGGTAGAGACTGGATCCTTCAGGACATCCTGACACAAAACACAGCAGGACAGCTGCCTCCTCTTCCTCTCTCTGTGAAGATATTTCTTTATAATTAAAATAATTTGTTGATTGTTGAAAATCAATCAAGAAGACAGAACACTGTCCAGAAGCTCAGATGGTCACAGAGAGTATAAGTCTGTTACCCTTCTGTTTAAGGTGAATATAATATATATAATATAACATTTGGTTCATATTTATTATTTAATCATCCAGCTCGCCTTCCTTGGGTCCAAACTCAGTTACATCGTACAACATCACATTGTGTTGTGCTGTGATCATCAAGTGATCATTCAAGTGTTAACAAACATTCATTTCAGTGCACAAGAACTACAGAGACATTATATATGGGTCAATAACATGATATCCATATTTTTTGTCTGAGTTTAATACATTCTTGACACATATAATTGTATTATATAAAACCTATTTAGTTTGAATGTAATTTAAAGACATTAAAATAATAAATATTATTTATGTTTTTAAAGCTCGAACCTCTAAAATGTCAGGTGGAGCAACTGTGGACAAAAATATTAAACATCATATTTTATTAGTGATATATTAAAAGTAAAATACCATGGCATCATTCTGTGTTTGAAACCTTTAACATATTTTACAAATACCAATCATTTTAAAGCTGTTGAGATAATTAAAAAAAGTATTATGTTATCAAATGTCAGGTTGTCACAACTGTACCACATGACTTTTGTTTTGAAGTGAACAAGTTATAACAGTTAACAGGATATTGCATCAACCAGAGGACCACAAGTGACCTTTACGGCTGAGTGAAAAAGTTTCTCTCAAATATAATTTCTATTATAATTTAACAAAATGTAACTAGCAAAGCCAAAAGCTAACACAAGTGCCCAAACAGAAGAATTAATTTCAAAAGTTAGGTTAGAAATACTGTTTAAAAAGTTGCCATATGACGATCACGAGTATTTGAATGAGGATTTGCTTTAAGATTGATTTACGTAAAGACTTTTCCAATGATTGATACGATATATATATTAATAAAATCAACAAAACAACAAATCCAACACATTGTCAGAGGTAGCTGAATATGAGTGGTATAAATGAGTTAGTAGCAGTGTTCTTACTTTGTGTCTGAGGGTCCAGGTTCATTACTGAAGTTCAGAGGTGGATTATTGGACCAGTCACTCTTCATAGACAGACAGCTGGACACTGCAGACTCTGCTCTTCGTCTGTTGGGCTGAACTCTGCAAACACCAACAGGTTTTCATTTATTCAACTTGAATCCTTGATAACTTCTCTGAAGACATATGAAAGCTGTAAATACACAAACTACCACTACTGTCCATTATTAGGAAGTTTAAAGGTTTGTAGGAGTCCTCTTAGATCAGATTACAGCTTCAGGTTTCTGGGGCTCCAGCCCCGAATACTTTCTTAAAAGCACTGAATTGTTTAGGCTTTTAAACTAACTTCAGCTTTATGTCATTTACCCTCAGTCTCTCTGATCAGACCAGAGCTAAAGTTTTATTACTGTGGAAATATAAATTAGTTTTACTCGTTACAGCGGTTATTTTCCCGCTTAACATTTAAACGTAGACTAGTTCTACCTAAACACTCGGAGTTTCTCCTTCTTTTAGTGACTTTTCACTACTTTCAAAGTTTTTCATACACGCTAGTTTCATTAGCATTAGCAGTTAGCTATGGCCTCTCCCTCTCCCTCTCCTCTGTCCTGCTCAGTGTGTCAGATGTTCAGTTATTCCTCTGCCTCCTTTAATGATAATGGTTCCTGTATTAAATGTAGTTTATTTACTGCGCTGGAGGCGAGGCTGGAGGCGAGGCTGGAGGCGAGGCTTAGTGAGTTAGAGGAACGGTACCACAGAGATATCTTTAGCCGCTATAGTTAGCCAGCCCCCAGATGCGCCCGGTTAGCTCAGTCGGTAGAGCTGGCGACCCGCGTTCGAATCCGACCTTTGCTGCGTGTCATCCCCTCTCTCTCTCTCTCTCTCTCTCTCTACCCACCTTTCCTGTCTATCTTCGGTTGTACTATCTAATAAAGGCATGAAAAGGCCAAAAAAATAACTTTAAAAAAAGTTAGCCGATGCATCCTCCGGTAGTTCCCGAGCAGCCGGGAAGACAGGGAGGCTGGGTGACTGAGCGAAGGGAGACTAAAACACTGAAGCCCACAGTTCACCACCAACCGCTTCACGTTTCTAATACATTTTCCCCACTCAGCGACACACCCGCTGAGGAACCAACTCTGGTTATTGGCAGCTCCATAGTCAGAAACGTGAAGTTAGTGAAGCCAGCGGCCATAGTTAAATGTATCCCTGGGGCCAGAGCGGGCGACATTGAATCAAATTTAAAACTGCTGGCTAAAGATAAACGTAAATACAGTAAGATTGTTATCCACGTCGGCGGTAACGACACCCGTTTACAGTCGCTATTTGACGTTGTGGGAGTGAGACTGTGTTGGTCTTACACACTTCTCTGCTCTTTCTTTAGAACAGTCACCCACCCAAAACCCCATAGAGACTGTGTCTGTCCCCCGACCACCTAAATTATTTAAAGAAATAAAAACAAGAGGAGTTCAACATAAAAATCTAATAAAAATTAAAACCAACTCCTCAGTAGCACAAAATAAGAGAATGAAATGTGGACTGTTAAATATCAGGTCTCTGTCCTCTAAAGCTGTTTTAGTGAATGAATTAATATCAGATTATGATATTGATTTACTTTGTCTTACTGAGACCTGGTTGTCCCACGAGGAGTATGTTAGCCTAAATGAATCCACCCCCCCCAGTCATATTAATACTCACATTCCTCGAGGCACTGGCCGAGGAGGTGGAGTGGCAGCCATATATGATTCGAGCGTTTTAATGGACCCTAAACCTAAACTAAATTATAATTCATTTGAAAGCCTTGTTCTTAGTCTTTCTCACCCAAACTGGAAAACACTGCAGCCAGTTCTATTTGTTATAGTGTACCACGCTCCTGGACCGTACTCTGATTTTATATCTGAATTCTCAGAGTTTTTATCAAGTTTAGTCCTTAAATCAGATAAAGTAATTATTGTAGGTGATTTTAATATTCATGTGGATGTTAACAATGACAGCCTTAGTAACGCATTTATATCATTAATAGACTCAATTGGCTTCTGTCAGAGTGTAAATAAACCAACTCATTGTTTTAATCACACTCTTGACCTTGTTCTATCATATGGCATTGATATTGAACATTTAATAGTCTTCCCACATAATCCTTTCCTATCTGACCATTATTTAATAACTTTTGAATTCATACTATTAGATTATAAGCCATTAGGCAAAACTTCCTACAGCAGATGTCTATCTGACAGTGCTGTAGCTAAATTTAAGGAGGAGATTCCTTCAGTGTTTAATTCAATGCCATGTCTGAATTCAACAGAGTCCTATAATAACTTTAGTCCCTCTGAAATTGATAATCTTGTCGATACTGCTGCAGGCTCACTACGATCAACATTAGACATAAACCCCTTCTTAAAAAGTCCACTCTTGACCCAGGGGTTTTAGCCAACTATAGACCGATTTCTAACTTCCCTTTTCTCTCTAAGATTCTGGAGAAAGTAGTCGCCAAAGATTTGTGTGACTTTCTACATAACAATAGTTTATTTGAGAATTTTCAGTCAGGATTTAGAGTTCATCATAGCACAGAGACAGCTCTGGTTAAAGTTAATAATGACCTTCTGATTGCTTCTGACAATGGACTTGTCTCTGTACTTGTATTATTAGATCTTAGTGCTGCATTTGACACCATTGACCATAATATTCTTTTACAGAGACTTGAGCATCAAATTGGCATTAAAGGAACCGCACTAAGCTGGTTTAAGTCATATTTATCAGATCGCTCGCAGTTTGTACACGTTAACGATGAATCTACAATAAATACTACAGTTAGTCATGGAGTTCCACAAGGTTCTGTACTTGGACCAATACTATTTACTTTATATATGCTCCCTTTAGGCAACATTATTAGGAATCACTCCATTAACTTTCAGTGTTATGCAGATGATACGCAGTTATATCTATCAATTAAGCCCGATGAAATTAATCAATTATCTAAATTACAAACATGTCTTAAGGACATAAAATCCTGGATGACCTTCAATTTTCTGATGTTAAACTCAGAAAAAAACAAAATTCTTGTTCTTGGCCCCAAAAATCTTAGAGACTCACTGTCGAAAGATATAGTTACTCTAGATGGCATTAACTTGGCCTCTAGCACCACTGTCAGGAATCTTGGAGTTATCTTTGATCAGGATTTGTCATTTAACTCCCACATAAAGCAGACCTCTAGGACTGCCTTCTTTCATTTACATAATATTACATAAATTAGACACATCCTATCACAGACAGATGCAGAAAAACTAACCCATGCATTTGTTACTTCAAGGCTGGATTACTGCAACTCTTTATTATCAGGTTGCCCCAATAAGTCCATTAAAACGCTCCAATTAATTCAGAACGCTGCAGCACGAGTACTGACAGGAACTAGAAAAAGAGATCACATCTCTCCTGTACTAGCTTCTCTGCACTGGCTCCCTGTAAAATGTAGAATAGAATTGAAAATTCTCCTCCTCACCTATAAAGCTCTTTATGGTCAGGCCCCTTCATATCTTAAAGAGCTTATAGTACCCTATTACCCCTCTAGAACACTACGTTCTCTGAATGCTGGGCTACTTGTGGTTCCTATAGTCTCTAAAAGTAGAACAGGAGCCAGAGCCTTCAGTTACCAAGCTCCTCTCCTGTGGAACCAGCTTCCAGTTGTGGTTCGGGAGGCAGACACCCTCACCACTTTCAAGAGTAGGCTTAAGACATTCCTCTTTGATAAAGCTTATAGTTAGGGCTGGATCAGGTGAGTCCTGAACCATCCCTTAGTTATGCTGCTATAGGCCTAGACTATCGGGGGATTTCCCATGGTGCACTGAGCTCCTCTCTTCCTCTCTCTTTCTGCACTCATTCATGTTCCATTAATGCATGTTACTAACTTCACTTCTTCCCCGGAGTTCTTGTGCTTTCTCGTCTCGCAGGTTCTTGTCGATCCTGGTGGAGCCTCCTGCCATGGTCCTGCTAGATTGCCATTGCTAATACTGTTGTTGCTGTGCACCTGTCTGTCTGTCTGTCTCTCTCTCTCTCTCTCTCTCTCTCTCTCTCTCTCTCTCACCCCAACTGGTCGAGACAGACGACCACCCACCTAGAGCCGGAGGATCTGTCCTAGGTTTCTGCCTTTTAACAGGCAGTTTTTTCTTGCCTTTGTCGCCAAGTGCTTGCTCATGGTGGTACTGTTGGGTCTCTGTAAATAATGTTATAAAGAGTTCGGTCTAGACCTGCTCTATTTGAAAAGTGTCCTGAGATAACTTCTGTTATGAATTGGCGCTATACAAATAAAATTGAATTGAATTGAATTGAATTATATATGAGTCAATAACATGACATCCATATTTTTTGTCTGATTTTAATACATTCTTGACACATAAGTTTATTATATAAAACCTATTTAGTTTGAATATAATTTAAATACATTAAAATAATAAATATGATTTATGTTATTAAAGCTTGAACCCCTAAAATGTCAGGTGGAGCAACTGTGGACATAAGGGTGGATATTAAAAATCTAATTTTATTAGTTATATATTCAAATTAAAATACCATGGCATGACTCTGTGAAGCCAAAAGCTAACACAAGTGCCCAAACAGAAGAATTAATTTCAAAAGTTAGGTTAGAAATACTGTTTAAAAAGTTGCCATATGACGATCACGAGTATTTGAATGAGGATTTGCTTTAAGATTGATTTACGTAAAGACTTTTCCAATGATTGATACAATATATATATCAATAAAATCAACAAAACAACAAATCCAACACATTGTCAGAGGTAGCTGAATATGAGTGGTATAAATGAGTTAGTAGCAGTGTTCTTACTTTGTGTCTGAGGGTCCAGGTTCATTACTGAAGTTCAGAGGTGGATCATTGGACCGGTCACTCTTCATAGACAGACAGCTGGACACTGCAGACTCTGCTCTTCGTCTGTTGGACTGAACTCTGCAAACACCAACAGGTTTTCATTTATTCTACTTGAATCCTTGATAACTTCTCTGAAGACATATGAAAGCTGTAAATACACAAACTACCACTACTGTCCATTATTAGGAAGTTTAAAGGTTTGTAGGAGTCCTCTTAGATCAGATTACAGCTTCAGGTTTCTGGGGCTCCAGCCCCGAATACTTTCTTAAAAGCACTGAATTGTTTAGGCTTTTAAACTAACTTCAGCTTTATGTCATTTACCCTCAGTCTCTCTGATCAGACCAGAGCTAAAGTTTTATTACTGTGGAAATGTCACCATCTGTTACAATATTATGGGATGGATTCACATGTAGCAGATTTGTCAGCTAAACATTCATTAAAGAGCCCGAATCATACGGGATCTTTAAGACCAATTTTTATAACGATTTTAGAGATTGTGCACTACTATGACTCTGCAGAGGTACTCAGAAGGCTGCTTCCTTAAACAAACAACTTATATTTCAGTTAAATGTTTCAGTGAAATATTTTTAACTGTTAAATCATTTTCAACAAATTCTAGTTGACACTGCTGACAGCTGCTTCTTCTCTCTAACTCTTTGCTGCTTGCCACAGTATTGTAATCCACAGCACTCTCCTCTGGAGAAACTTTGCACTGACACTAATATATTTATATTAGTATTTCTTCTGCATTATATAATGTTTTAATATGGCAGCATATTGATAACTTATATGACGATACAGATGCAATAATGTCAGCTGACAGATATATTGGTCGGGCTCATTCTGTGAACTCTACTGCAGCTTAGTTTAACATAAATAGGTTTTAAGACTAGTAATGCTGTTTACACTGGATTCCTACCCTACCTGTGTTATGTCATCTAAAATAAAATCATCAAACAATTTTTTCCTCTTTTGAGGTGTCCGGAGAAAAAATGTGTCATCCTGAACATTTGTTCTGTTCCTGTTTCAGAATGATGAAGAAAACTGTAGAACAATTAGATCCAAAATAGGAAGTAGTCTCTAATGGACAATTGTTATCCTGAACAACTATTATGTGTTTCTCAAATGACGTATAGATTTCTAGACTTCTACTCAGGTTTGGGTTAATCTTGGAATGTTTACAACATCTGGCTCCATCCCGGTACTGAGTGAGAGCACTGCAGTTTGTATGAGTGCTTTTAGATTGGAGCTTTTCTAGGTTTGTCACAGATACTAAGAGGAAGATGGAACAAATGAATCATTTGTCTGTATCACAAAAGGTTCTTTCTTGTTAGCTAATGCATTTTAGAAATTATATTATGCACAAAGTCAACGAGACAAGAAAAGCAACACATGGCATTGTCAAAGGTAGCTGAATATGAGTGGTATAAATGAGTTAGTAGCAGTGTTCTTACTTTGTGTCTGAGGGTCCAGGTTCATTACTGAAGTTCAGAGGTGGATCATTGGACCGGTCACTCTTCATAGACAGACAGCTGGACACTGCAGGCTCTGCTCCGTCCTCCTCTTCCTCCGCACAGACACTCATCTTCTCATCTGCAGTCTGAGAGACAAAACAGTAACACTGACTGTGAGCTCAGGACACGAGAATCAAGAGAAACACGTTTGTTCAACAGTCACATGGAACACTGAGAGAACAGGAAGTGACTCTCTCTCTCTCTCTCTCTCTCTCTCTCTCTCTCAGTTTAATCAAACCGCTGACTTCATTCTAACATTTCTTTCCTCTACAGTCCACTGGGGAAAAACGTTGGCAGTAAAACAAAATATCTGTTGTATGAACACTCACCCTGCCTCAGCATTCAGTTTTCCTCCTTCTGCTCTGTCCACTCAAAATGGAGTCTGAACTAACTGAACACTTTCACTTTCAGTTTCCCTCCCAGTTCTCTGCACCTCCCTGTCCCCACACTGTGTGTGTGTGTGTGTGTGTGTGTGTGTGAGTCAGCTTTTTACATTTGTTCATGTCTCCTTTGTGTTATGGCCACGGCTGTACTCATTGTACTGCATTTGTTTTCTTGTGTTCCTCCTCATCTGTGTCTCCTTCACTCCCTCTGCCGGCCACATTGCCTCCTTCTCCACCTTTCCTCTGCCATACCAGCCATCCATCTCCTCAACCTCATCTCCAACCACAACAGTAATTATTCAATAAAACTTCCCCTGCCTCCTGTTCTGTGTCTTTTTGGGTCAGTTTTGGTGGTGCCCCCTCCGTACTTTACTTTAATCATCAGAGAAGTTCTTCCAAAGTCGTTTTTCTAAAACCACATATCTCTCTCCTCTCTCCTCGAATGGTTTCCTCACGTCTCTCCATGCATCCTCATGCAAGGGAAAGATGTAAGTGAGGGAAATGTGGATGAAGTTAAGAGACTTGAGACGCTCCCTTGTTGTCCTGCACACACTGTAGTACAAACAAGGTTTTTTCTTCATTTTAGTGGAAACTGTATTACACAAACTCAAAATCAACTAAAAAAAGCAAAAAAAATAAACAAAACATGGAATTAGCAGAGGTAATTCAAACTGTGTCACATCAGGGCAGCAAACAAGTTATACAACGGAGAGAACAGGAAGTACACAATGTCACACACACACACACACACACAGAGACACACACACACTCAGAAATGTAACTGTTGATTTAATCTCTTTCCTCCACAGTCCACAGGGAGAAAACTCACTCACAGACTCTGACAGACTGTTGCACACAAAGTCAGTTGGCTTATTTAATGTGTATTTTTATCCATAAGCTTTATTATTCTGTTCGTTGTAACAAGTGTTGTTTTTGTGTGTGTGGGGGGGGGGGGGTTGCAGTACAGATCTGACACAACACACCACTGCAAGTTCAACACAAATTAATAAATTAGTGAATTGAATCGGTGCAATGTAGAGACAACTGAACTAAACCGTCAGCAGAATACAGACAGTTCATTCAGTGCTCAGGTAAAGTCTGCACACTGGAGAGACAAACTCCCTGCAGGAGAGTCAATACACTTTCATTGCATAATGGAGGAATGTAGTCCATCCTAATGCAAAGTAACACTGTTTGCATGTAGTCATGCTGGTTTTACTGCTGCCTTCTGTAGAAATGTAATGATAAGACCCACAGTCCAACCAGGACAGGCTCAAATTCAGATCTTAAGTTTGGTGTTTTTGGATGTTTACTGCGAGTAATATTTAACACCCAGCTGACTATGAATATATGTCTCATTATCTCTATAAAACATAAAAATAAGATTTTCCATTTAACTTCATATTCACTGTATTCAATAGACCATAGGCTGTCCACCCTGTCATGGACCAAGTCAAAGTAGAGTCAATACATTTTCATTGCATAATGATTATAAAGTTAATAGGAAAAGTATTTTTATAATAATGAAATTACTGCAAAAGAAACAGTTGCACTAAACAAACATATCAGGTCAAACTTTGTCAACCTTTAGACCTAAATATTTGGCCCTTGTGTCTTTATAAAGAACTATTACTACTGAATTAACAAATGATTTCTCTCTGTCTCTATCACAAACAATTTCTTATTTTAGTTAACAATTACATTTTAGAAGAGATTTTATTATACTTATTATTATACTCAAAATCAACCAAACAAACCAAAACAAACATGGTTCTGAAAGACGGAATTTAAAGTGCGTCATACCAAGAAAGAACATTCAGACAACAGGGAAGTCCCCATGGTCTCTCCCTCCCTCTCTCTCTCTCTCTCTCTCTCTCTCTCCCTCCCTCCCTCCCTCTCTCTCTCTCTCCCTCTCTCTCTCTCTCTCTCTCTCTCTCTCTCTCCCTCCCTCTCTCTCTCTCTCTCTCTCCCTCCCTCCCTCCCTCCCTCTCTCTCTCACACACACACACTGAACAGCTGAGTTCTGAAACACTGAGTTTCTTTCCTCTACAGTCCACAGAGAGAAGTCAGTATCAGAGTATTTGACAGTAAAATAATGTAAAGTTGTATCAACACTCACTCTGTCTCAGTCTTTAGTCCTCAGTATTTAGTTTTTAGTTTCCTCCTTCTGCTCCGATCGGCTCAAAATGGAGTCAGAACAAACTGTACCCTTTCAGTTCCCTCCCTGTGCTCTCTACCCTGATCACATGGCCTGTCTCACCCCTCCCTTCTCCATTTACAGGAAATCAGTTGACTATGTGTGTGTGCATTATAAGTATCTCTCTCGCCTTGAACAGACTCAATTAAAATCTCATCTTTATTTTTAAATCATGTAAATTAACCTATTCTGTTGTTCACAACTTAAACTGCTCTTTCTGTGAAGTTTTCTTTGTTCCAGGAAACAAACAGTAGTGCCGTCTCAGACCAGTTTTTAGACTCTGGTTGTTAAACTCATTACTGAGTAACTCCTCCAATACAACAACAGGTTCAACCGTCACTTCTCACTTCCCTCCATACAGAGAGCAGTGAACCCTCAGCTCTCACACCTGTCCATTATTGGGGTAACCTGGCAGGAGTTTGGAATGCTCCCCAGAAAATAACAAATAATAATAATAATAATAATAAAGAACAAATAATAGTATCTGAAGTTCTTCCCTGCACCTTACAGATGATACACAGACCCAATCCGTCCAAGAAAAAGCTGCTTCAGCACTTTAAGTGTCCTCTGGAAACACTTCCATTATTGTTTTTTCAGATAAGATCTGCAGAACACGTGTGACATTCACTGTCAGACAGTTTATTATGTAATGCCTCTATTGATTCATTTATAGCCTAATGGATAAGATAAGATACCTTAGAATGACATGTTTTTATCTAATACTGAGAGTCCACAATGTTCCTACAGTAGCCCAGAAAGGACAAACCAAACACTGGCCACTAAATCCGACACACTGAGAGCTTTAAATTGACATTTTGTAAGATCTGCTGTCCGTCCAGTCCCAAATGTGCTTTTGTCTTCTTCTTTTCTTATCCTGCTCCGTCAGCGTTGTCCACAGAAGCTGCTGAGCACACACCAGCTCCAACCACCGTTACATCGTGCACAAACATGAATACACAGGCACCATTCGCCCTGTTACAACTCAGCATGGAAAGGACTCTAAAGCTGTTGTCTTAAGTTAGAAAAGTTACATAATGTATTATTAAATATGCTACAACACAGCATCCAGATATAGAAAGAGCATAACATGTTTATTAAATACAGAAAACATGTTTCTATGTTGACACAAAACCAAAACCAAAGAGGGAATCTGTGTACAAAACAGTCAGTGTGACGTTATGAGCCATATCACACCACGGCTTTATGAGACGGGGAGGTTTATTTCCTTTAATGGCGTTTTTGTACAAAACTGCTTTATATATATGATTGTTGATGAACATGAAGAAAAGGAGGAGCTTTTCTGGCCACTTTCACCCTCTCTACGTCGGTCTTCTTAAGAACTCACAATGTGAACAGCAGGAGATGAGAAGTTAATAATTATAAATATATATATATATATATATATATATATGGTGGAAGAAATACTCACATACAGTAAACACTGCTTTTAGTTGTTGCAGATAAAACAGCCCAAAGTTTTATAAAATAGTTCAAATCAGTTCCACTTTGACAATCCCCATCAGTGATAATCATCCCATAGTATATATATATATATATATACACACACACACATACATAAATATATCACACTAAATAAAATGATCATTCTCTATAATGAATACTTTTACTTTTGATACTTTAAGTATAATTTGCTGTTTATACTTTTAGTTTTACTTTTCAAGTTTCAGTTTCAATCAACTTGTTTAAAAATGTTGTGAATGGCTCCATAAGATTAGGAAAAAAGTAGATTTTTACTAAATTCTTGAAACAATTTTAATGAAAAGAGATGAAATCATTCCTGGGGTGGATCTAGAGTGGTGGCCACCCCGGTTCGGTGTCCACTAAAGTCAAGTTTAACACACTAATTAAATAAAACATAATCTAAATTAACTAACTAACTAGTTATTATCATGGTTGTGGTCAGTCTAATTTAAAATAGTGTGAAAATCTGTAACTGTAAATAACCATTAAATTACTGCTTATTTAAAGAGGATTAGATATTTACTGTTTATTTAATAGATAAAACTGTTAAATTGAAGTTTAATGCTGTTAATACCTTTGTAAAAGTATTAGTTGTGTGATTTTAATGTATTAGTTAGTGAACTGACAGATATGTTGTATAATGATGGAAGTTGAATAAATGTTGTTTATCAGTGTATAAGCATTGGTAAACTGTCCAAATACAGTTGTTATCAGTGTAAACAGCAATAATTACTGTAATCTCACAGATAATGACTTTATTACAGTTCTATAACTTTTAACATTCACATTAAAATAATAACAATCCAATAATAACAGCACTCTGCTGTAAATGTAAGTCTGATTATTGTATTATAGCAGAGTTCACCTGGATTTATAGATCATTGTTTCACACTGTAAATATCTTTAATTAAACATTTTTTTTAAAGATTTTGTGTAAAATTAAAGCTAAAAACTGTATTTTAATTATGAAATATTACTGTATTTTCATGAGTCAGTTATTTTCTTTCTATATTTTCTGTATTGATCTTATTACAGTTCACTCTGTTGGTAGCACTCGATGGAATATATAGAAAACATTTGGAAATAAAACAATTTATTGATTTCTTCTGACACCTTTAGGTATTTCTACTAACCTCACTAATGTTCCACAATAATGTCATATTTTTGAGTTTTGAGACTTTACAGAGTGGCAGAAATATGTGTTGATTTAATTAACAATCCCATATATCAGTGAACGCCAACTGAGATTTCCATCCGGCCTCCAGAATATTACGGAATTCAGGAATAGCCTAGTGAATATAGGGTATATATATATTTATTTATTTTTAAATCAAATGAAAGAAACGCCCTCTGAAAAGTAGCTTGTGCCATAATCAACAATGACGATAAACTCGTTGCTCTCATTTAACATCTTTTATTGTTTCACGTGCTCATTTGATCTATAGTCGTTATTCCCAGAGTACCCAGGCTGCCTGCAGAGACGCTCTTGTTGCTTTCTCTTGTTCAGTTGAAGTTTGGTTAATGATTCCTGCTGGCCTGGGAGTACTGACGGGCCTCTGACTGTTCAGGATAGGACTCCTTGAAGCTTGCATGCTTTGTGTTGTGGTGACGCCTCAGATTATATTCTTTAGCGACAGTTTGGTTGTAAATGAGGCACACAGGTACAACATTTCTAAAAGTTGGCACTATGAATACATAGTCATCAGTGCATTCTTCATTAAAGCTGCGGTTCTCTGCATCAACGTTCCGCTTAAGGCTCTTAGAGAGGGACATTTTTCATGCTTGAAACATATTCAGAAGGCCTTCCTCCTGCCAGTGTTCTCCACAGACTACTACACTGCATGTGACAGTGATGGACAGCTTGACAGCCCCACAAATATGAAGTCTAAAATATCGCTATCGCCCCCTGGTGGCTTGCTGCAGTACAGGTAATATGAGTCTGTTCACACTGACAGAGGATAAAAAATAACATCAATTAGTATATCAAATAATCAAATAATAACACATTACTTAGAATACAATAGTGATGTTATTTTATTTTTACGAGCATCGGGCCCTCAGTGTCTGCAGAGAAAACCTCTGGCCCTTGGACAAATGTAGTTGATGACCCCTGCTATATATAAACATTTGAACTCAAAAACATTAATGTGGCACATTAATAAAGCATTGACATTAATAAACTACATGTCAGTGATCTCACAGTTTAAGTCTTTTGATTCTAAATGTAGTTGTTTTTCAACAGATGCATTTCATTTAAAACTAGAGATTAATAGATTCCTATATAAACCACTGGAGGGCGCTGTTGTACCACCAGTAGTACACAGTAGACTATAAGTTTGAGCACCAGTGGTCTAAGTGAAACCTGTAGAAACAGCATTCATGCACCACATATCAAACTGCAGGTCTAATTCTTCATATCTTTCACTGCACTGTGACTCTTATTTAGATTTGGGTTTATTTTCTTCTTGTCTTCCACATAAAGCACTTTAAATTGCCTTGTTGTTTTCAACCTACCTTGCTTGGATTAAAAAGCATTTTCAAATATGTCACAATGGTCCTAAGAAGCTAAATGTTGTACCTATTTAGTTGTTTGTGCTGTAACTGTATTAGGATTCGTTGTTTGTCTTCAGTCGGACTCTAACTCCTGATTGCAATCAGAGGAAGTCGAAGCAGAGTTTGGATCTGACACACAGACACGTTGAAACTGCATTTCCTCGTGAATTTAGACTCATTTTCAGGCTCTGATCAACCTTTATGTAGCTCTAATAGCTGAAGTGTTGCCGTCTGTACCAGTCGTGGGCCGCCGGCCGACAGCAAACACCTGCTGTTAGGATGCTAAATGACGACGACGTTGTAAAGCGCTGCAGCGTCTACGTTTCCATGGTTTCACAACAATATCAGTGGTCGAATGTAACTAAGTGCTTTTGCTCAAGTTCTTAAGTACAAATCTTAAAAAGCTCCAGTAACTTTATCAGTGCTGATGTTTAGCTATTATTATTTATTCTTTACTTTCTTATTTTATTTAAGAGATCAGACGACTGAGTACCTTTGCAGTCATATTGATTAAAAATTGTTGGTCCCCCCCCAAAGTCGGTATCGGCTTCAATAAACCCGTATCAATCGGGCTCTAATCGGAGCATCTTTAATTTATTTCACTGGCAATCAGATATTTTAAAAATGATAACACAGATTATCATTGGATACCAGATCCAATGTAGTCCGTCCCTGAAATGAACACGTGTACACTGTCTGGAGTTTGTGAGGGAACCTGAAGGTTTTAAACTTTAAACTCTTTTTAAAAGGCAGCATTGTTTAACTCAACTTCTTACAAAGGAAGTTGGCATTCAGAGACTTTAAAGAAACAGTAAAAGGAGGCAAATGGAAAAACACACAAGGAGCACGGACGGATCAGAGATGGATGGATTGATGTATTAAAATCGAGTAAAAGTCGGTTTACAATATAAAATCCGAACCAGTATGACAGCTGAACGTGAATCTCCAGCAAACTGAAACATCTCAAGTGACAACAGGTTACTGAAAGAGAGGCATACATTGTTTTTTTTTTTTTTTTTTCAGACGGACAAAATATAACTTTTTTTCCTTTTTCCTGCATGCAACAACAGACCAAACACACTCAGACCTTTCCAAAAGTGAAAGAAGAAACTGGAATGGTTGGATTGATAAAACACTAGCTATGTAAAATATACAGTCACAGGGGGACGGGTCAGGAAATTCACCTGTCTCTATACTGGCTGCGAGCAGAGGAGACAAACTGCCCACTCAGTTTACAGTACAATCACTTTGTATAAAACCTCCCAGTCCCACATATATTGGATATACAGAACAACTTGGTAAATCCCAATAAAGAAAAAAAAAACAGACAAATAAAGTAAACAAGCATATAAAGGTCAGATTTAGTGTCGTATGTTACAGAGTACAAAAGCAACAGTGCTGCCATTGTGTGTGTGCAGCAGGCGTATACGTTCACACCCTCTCTCTCCTTTAAGTGTTTCTCCTTACAGACCATCATTACAATCACCGGGTAACACTTTATAATAACTGTACAAATCATACGCTTAATTAATGCCTAACTAACCAACGCTGCGTGTTAATTAATGAGGGATGTTTTCATGAATTCCTGTTGCTCACCACGAAGAAGTGTGATCAGTTCACACTTAATGGATGAGATGGAGAACCGTCTTATGTTGGATGGGATTCACAGGAGCCATTTTTCAACTGAAATGAAAAGACTTGGGTTTTCAGACGGGGAACTAGCTTTGTGCCACCAGACTCCATTGATAAAAACCCTAATTTTACCTTTCAGAACACAGTTGTTGGTCTACCGCCGCCTCCATCACTTAGTTTCTTTGTGTTATTGTGTGACTGGTGCTTTAATACGTCCCTTCGGATGCACGCTATCGAGGCAGCGGTCGACCAGAAACTTCTGTCTTCTGCAGGGTAAAATGTTCTGTTTTTGCCAAAGGAGTCTGGTGGCTTTGAAGAGAGCATTAATGGATATAAAGGCTCCACTTCCCTGTCAGTAAGGGTTGTGGAGAGCAATGGAAAGTGGTGAAAATACTCATTTTTCCCCAGAACTTTTAGCTTTTTCCCTTTATATACATCAACCGTTGGTTCTCGATAAAAGCTCCTCGTGGTTTCTCCGTCTGATCGATCTGACGAAGCGAAAATGACTTAAAAACAGGCCTTTTGAGAGTTTGTGATAGTGCCTCCAATGTGGAGAATCACTTCCTACCCTCCACCTGCAGTCACGTGCAAACAAACTATTAATGCATGCAGGATTCCAGATACAGAAAACTTAAGAAAAGAAATAACTTTGCCCGATTTGTTTGTTTTTACAACATAAACAGATAAAATGGAGAACGATCAGACGTGTTCAACACACACACACACACACACACACACACACACACACACACACACACACACACACATCTACCACTGGGTGTCGAAAGGTCCGTAAAAAAACCATCTAACAAGTTAACTGATCCTTTTAATCACAGGAAGTCACAGTGACCTGATCAGTAAGTGTTGAGCAACAGGAATTCGTGATACCTCCTCATTAAGATCTGTGTTAGGGCTGCACCATACAGTGAAAGCATCATATTGCAATTAGTTTGGCAGATATTGCAATTTGATTCACACATTTTCAATTTCACTGGAAGAAAACGTTTAAAATCACGACGATGTGACAGTTGTTGAGTTCTCTGGTGTAAAAACAAACCTGTTTTAATCCATCTCGAGAAGGTTTGTAGGCTCTGCAGCTCTTCTTTATAACGCAGTGTATTATTCAGATATTGCACGTGGCCGTATTGCGGTGTCGGTAACGTGGCAGCCCTCATTTGTACGCTTATTATAAAGTGCTGCCGACCGGTTCCTGTGTGTCTGTACAGTGTGACTCAGCTCATCAGAGGTTAGGTAATAAATGAGGAAGAGAGAGTTAGACAGATGTAGTGTTCTGGTTCTGGTTCTGGTTCTGTGTTTCATTTAGAAGAAACTGAATAAAACAATAAAATGCTTCTTCTTAAAAACATGGAAGTATTTGTAGTCTCCGCTCTGTGTGTGTGTGTGTGTGTGTGTGTGTGTGTGTGTGTGTGTGTGTACTCTTCAGTTAGTGTCATTGACGATCACAATAACCATGTGCTCCTCGTCCAGATTACCCACAGTCCTCTTGGCGGCCTGCAGGTACTGTTGGGAGAACTCTCCGGGGGGGAAGGCGTACAGCATCGCCCCGGGTCCGCCCTCCTTCGCGGCGGGCAGGCTCACCACTCCGGCCGCCTCCTTGTTGCGCAGGTAGGTCACCAGGTGGCGAAGCAGGCGCACCTGCAGGCCCGGTTCGGGGGCGGGGGCCTGGCGGTCGATGGGGCCCTGGATGGCCAGCAGGATGGCGAACCCGTCCGGCCTCCCCAGTTTGATGCGGCGCGTCACCTCATCGAGCCGGGTCTGGTCCATGCGGAGCCTCTGGGCGATCTTCAGCTGGCTGGGCTGGTTCTGGTTCTGGTTCTGCAGCCTCAGGTTCTCCTTCATCGCCGTGTTGAAGAAGGCGGCGCCGCCCTCCAGCAGGTACAGGTCTGTGGGGAAGCTGCTGTTCTTCAGGGCGAAGAAGCCGTGCCACATTTTGGCGAGCGAGGCCTGGGCGAACTCCGACAGCGACCCGGGGGAGGAGGCGGCGTCCGTGGGGACGGCGGGGGAGCCGGCGGCGACCACCTCGCTGTTCCGATGGTGGTGGTTGTTGAGATGCTCGATGGAGGATCTCTTGCTGTAGTGGCGGCCGGGCGGTGGATCTTCTTCGTTGGTGGCGGGGTGGCGCCCCCCCAGCCCGCTGTCGGGGGAGTGGTCTCTGGGCTCCGTGGTGGAGTCCGGGGCTCGAACCCGTGCTCGGTCTGGGCTCGCCTCGGGAGACACAGCCCCTCCCAGACCTCGAACCTTCGACCTCCCCCTCTCCTTCTCCCGCTCTCTCTCCCTCTCCTCCGTCAGCCGGTCAGCGGACGGACTCCTGCTCCTCCTCCTGCTCCTCCTCTCCTCCCTCTCCTTCAGCCAGCGCTCCCTGCTCCTGCTGCGGCTCCTCGCTGTTCTCCCGCTCCTCCCGAACGCCTCCACGCCTCCTCCCGCCCTCCTCTCCAGGCTGCGGGTGGGGCTGGTGGGGTAGTCTCTCTCCAGCAGGGCCCTGTCTCTCTCCCTCTGGGTGAGGAGGCCGTGGGAGGAGGGCGGCGAGGAGCGGTCCCTGGCTCCCCTCAGCTCTCGCTCCAGGCTGCGGTGGCGGCTGTAGGTCTCCGGGAGGAGGTCGTAGTGGGAGGGGGCTGCCACAGGGGGCTGGTAACCGGGAGGGAAGGGGCGAGAGGGGCTCTCCTCAACCTTGGCGAAGTCCACCCTCAGACGGCGCTCGGGCCCCCCGAGAGGAAAGCCCCTCATCTGGGTGCAGGCGGCCTGCGCGGCGTCCAGACTCTCGTACTGGATGTAAGCGAAACTGTCCCCCTTCACATAGTCGATGTTCCGTATACTCCCGAAGCGGTCGAACTCCCGGGCGAGGGCGGCGAGGGAGTTCCCGGGCCCGAGGCCGCCCACCCACAGCCGGGTGGTGGGGTTAGCTTTGCCGTATCCAATCTTTATCGGGTTGCCTCCGATCAGCCGCCCCTGCATGGCCACCTTGGCCCGGTGGGCCATGTCCAGGTTCTGAAACTTCACAAAAGCGTACGCCCCCCCCTGACCACGAGCCGGGCGTTTGATGACGACGTCCTCGATGATGCCGTACTTATCAAACCCCCTCCTCAGTTCTACCTCTGTCACGTTACCGTCCAGGTTCCCGATGAACAGGTTGCTGGTCGCCCTCTGGTCGTCCTCCGGCTTCAGGTCCTCCACCACGGGCATCGGAGGGAAGCCGTAGGGCCGGCCCCTCTCATCCAGCATCCCATAATAATCCAGGAGCCTCTCCCGCTCCCTGCTGAGCCCCAGGGTCTCCAGGGCGTAATGTCTGGCTCTGAGGTCTCTGATGTTGCTGACCCCGGGTCCCGGTGGGGACAGGGACCGCTGTCTGTAGGGGTACGGGGCGTGCAGGGGCAGGTAACCCACATCCGGCGGGGTCACACTCCGCCTCCGGACGTACATGGGCTCGATCTTGAGCTGTCGGTCCCCCAGAACCAGCCGGGACGACTTGGCGTGCCGGGCCTCCTTCGCATCCTCCGGGTGCCGAAAGTTCACATAGGCGATCCGCCCCAGCTCCGGAGTGTGAGACAGCTTCACGCTCACGTCGCCGAACTTTTTGAACTCGTGAAACAGCGCGTCCTCCACGTCCTCGTCCGATACCTGCGAGCCCAGGTTGCTGATGAGCAGCGTTTTATACTCCAGGGTTCCGGGCCGGGCCGCGGGCAGCTCCACCGCCGCCGCCGCCGCCGCCGCCGTGGTCCGGAGCGGCGGGCGGCCGAGGAGGCTGAGCTCGTGTCGGTGGTGGAGCTCCAGGGCGGCCGCCCGCTCCTCCCGGAGCCGCGGCTTCTCCCGCTCCCTGCTGCGGCTCCTCCGGTGATACCCGCGGCTCTCCGCCAGCAGCAGAGCCAGCGGCGGCGGGGGGGGCGGCGGCGGCAGCTCCTCCCTCCGCCCGCTCTCTCGCTCCCGTTCCCGCATCCGTTTAGCGACGGCCCTGGACGGACTCGTCTCCCTCCCGGCCTGCCTCTTCATTTTCACAGGATGATGGAGCTCAAACTTTTCGGTGCCTGCAGCGGGAATCCGGCCTCGGGAGCGAGTTCCGGGAGCGTTAACGGGAACAGGGCGGCGGACGACAGACCCGGGAAAGAAACGCGACCCCTCCGAAAGCCGAATACTTGCATATATATCGAAATAAAACCGTAAACTCGTTTAAAAACATGTCAGCAGCAGAGGGTCTGCATCTACGCCGCCATCTTGGACAATAGGAATGTGCGCTTTCCCCTCTGGAGGGCGGAGCCTGAGATGACGCCTGTCGGCCGCCGTCATGACGTGTCACGCTTCATTTTTAGGACATAATTGTTTATATTTATTTATTTGTTTGTTTACCTCCCTTTAATTTGATGTAATTCTCTTTTAATATGTTCTGTGTTCCTGTGTGTTATAATTAAAGACATCAGGACGTCACATGTTAGTTGTTTATTACTTTAATTACGCAAGAAGCTTTTTTTAAATTGATGTTATAAAGATAAAGTATTATAAAATGTACATAATACTAAGGCTGCACAATGAATCGCAATATTATTGAAATCGCAACATGGCTATGTTTTTATAATAACTATTTATATTTCATTTCTACATGTACAGTTTAGTTTTTAAGTCAAGCTGCTCAAATATTTCTTAATATTGTTACTTGAATATTTTATAGTGTATATACTTCATTTATAGTTTATATCCTCTATTATATTTTGTAATATTTTATACTTCTTGCAGTACTTTGCTCTGCTGCTGTGTCCATTTGAATTTCTCCGGAGGATCAATAAAGGAATATCTTATCTTAAATGTAACATGTGAATCATAAAATGTTTGACCAGCAGCTTTATAATCAGGTACTGTACTTCTGCAGAGATCCTTTGGCCTATAAACATCTAAGCTTGTTTGGTACAGACCCCACAAAAGTCATCATTATTTTAATAGTTTATTATATGGCAAAATAATGGCATTATGACCTTTTACCACACGTCCTGCACATGTATTTCTGATATGATTGTAAGTTCCTTTATATAATCAGTGTCCTGTAATGAGTGGCATTGTGGTTCTCTCACATAATAATGTTTCTTTTTGCACTGTTGAATGTTGCTCTTATGATTTATGGACCTTTAATGCTGTTAAAATAAAATATTCTGATACAGATAATGCCTGGATTCCCTTTCAGATTCAGTTCAGAGCTATTTGAATCAGTCTTTAGGCGATATTTCCATCACCCTGTCTCTGGCCCACCGTGGGTCAATGAAGAAAGCAACAGTATTTAGTTCATATATAGAGCTCTGACTTTAAACTCCCTCTGTACTTTGATTTACTGATTCATACACTTTAAAGTTACAGTGAACATTAATGGACATTTCTGTAAATGTCTCTGGCTAACTGTAGCCCCTGGGCAGCTGCAGTACTGCATACATCATAAAATACTATTTAAAGACAAGGACAACAATACATAAAACATTCAGCGAGCAAGTTCTTTGAATAAGTTATGGTCCTGTATATTTCATCCCCTTTTCTCCCCACTGGAAAATAATCCTCAGTCTAAGTGACTCTTAGGATAAATAGATTGTGTACCTTGGATTGATACCCGATGATATTTAAAGTAAGAACATCTACCTCTTCAAAAGTCCTGATGTAAAGAGCTCGATGAAATGTGTAACCCTCCACGTCCACGACATCAGCGAGACACTGAGGAGGAAATAAACTGCACGGAAAACCTGACTCATTATCTAAAGTGGAACAACGCTGGTGGAGGAGAGTGGAGGAAAGATGGCTCAGCTCGAACAACAACGGGTCAATGCTTGTACAGAGAGGAGTAAAAAAAAAAATCACTCCATCCTTTAACTCCAGACGGACTCTTTTCATATTTTAATGAAAAAGTAGAATAGTACAGTCGTAACAAATACCTGGGGCCTTACATGAAAGGTGAAACAACAGCATATTATCAGTCTTATCCAGCATCACAAACAGTACACACTGTTTGCTTACATCAAACAATAACATATTCATCCCTTCTGACAGTCAGCAACAGCCCGGGGGCGGGGGGGGGGTTCAGGAACCAGAAAGGTTCTTGATGAATTTGAGACACAGTTGTTGGAAAAGCGAGTTCACCCACCATCAATTTTTTCTTATTTTTAATTTTTGAAATGTCAACACTTCTCCGACTGCTGATTGGATTGTACTGCGAGTGGTCCCGGTTCCGCCGCTCGGAAGTGGAGGGTGGACAGCAGGAGAGTTACAATGTGCACAGAACTACAGAAACCGTCGGTCGGACCAGAAATCATAACCCCAAAACAAAGAGAGGAAACGAGGTCAATCTTTTAAAAGAAACTCAATAAATATCTTAAACATTCTTACTCTGCAGACAGGAGGAGGATCGGTGTTCCTTCCTGTGTCAAAGTCACCCATACTCCATACTCCATGTCCTCTGAGTACATATGTCTGTATGTAGGACCTGTATTAGTGTGTGTTTGCTGCTTTTGGTAAAAACTTGCAGGGTATCCGTGGCGATTTCCATAAAAAAGTTATTTCCTCTACTTGCCACCGTTACTCTGCAAAAAATCTTGACTCTAACTAATGAATGAGAAACAAAAACAAAGTAGTTTTTCCATTTTTTAATAACAGTACAGTTTGTTTGACTCTGGGTTGGAATATGGGCGACTTTGTGAACCGTAAACTGAAACAAAAAGACTGAATTGGAGGTTGAAAGGGGGAGAGTGTTGGAGATCTGAATGTCTTTACAGGAGAGTCTTAATCTTAATGCACATGGAGAACCGTTTCTAGATGCTGCTGTCGTTCTTCTGCTTCGTACTGGCCGTTAAGAGATCCCTTCCTCATGTAATTACCAATGTAAGTGATTAGGGACAAAATACACAGTCCTCATTCTCTGTTATATATATCTGTTTTATAATATACAGCAGCGATGGCCAGATGTTTTCCCTTAATGGTGGACCACAGGGCTCCACTGACAGACCTCGAGACGATCACACAGATCGGCAGCACTGAAGGCTGCAAACTTTACAAACCGAGTCTCATAATGACCACAAACTGTGACGGAAGCAGAGAAGAGTGATAGTTAACGGAGGGCAGCGTGACTCCGGACAGTGGCTGCTCCTCCTCCTCCGGCGCTGACGAAGAAAAGGCAATAAAACGCGAGGTAGACCAAAACAAGAGACTGGTGTAGCTTCGTCTCCACCGCAGGGACGGCTGATATCTTTGTCGGAGTTTATTGTGGCACTAAACTGAAAAATAATGGGGTAGAACAGTAGAAGTACAGTCCTATTATCAAATATCTGCTGTTCACTTTGGGCAGGCCTGATATACGCTCTTTTCCTGCAGGGTGATTAGTCTCATACTAAAAAGACTTTGGAAGAAGATAACCACTTGATTTGACTAACTGCACATTAACTTCAGATAAACAATGCGTCTTTGAACAGAACAGGATTGTGGATTTTGTCCTCAGTCTAGAATTATTCAGGGTCGGTGTGGACTGAACATTATTTGAACGTACGTGTGGGAACGTCAGGATCAGTTTAAGGCAGAGAGCATTTTCCTTCTCAGTGTGTGTGTGTGTGTGTGTGTGTGGGGGGGGCTCTGGTCATGGATGTTGATCCACACGTCCTCTGTTGACGGGAGGACATTGTGAAAAGTAGGGTAAAGTTTGGAGGAACAGGAAATTACACACATTCTTCAAAACATGATGACTTTCCAAGAATCATCCTGACATTAAGATCTCATCGGGTGGCGTAGGCGGAGGTTGGAGGGGTGGTCGACGTGGGGGGGGGTGAACAGCAGGATGTACAGTGACCGACAAACTGAGCAGTTTCACTTTAACCTCCAACAGTCACTTTTCCCTTTAGAATGCATCAATGGACTAGTTATAACCAGGAATATCGCCAACGTACGATGAACTGTATGTGTGCTCCTCAACTCAAACACTGCTCGCTCCCCTTACACCGGATTGAAAAAGTACAACAAAGAACTCGAGTCTCGTGTGTATACACTAACAACTATACTTCTGAATCAGTGGAAGATGAAGTGTACGCCCTCCCGAACCCAAAAGACAAACATGTCAGAAAAAAAACTCCCCTCCTCCTCTCCTGGTCCTCCTCCTCCTCCTCTTCCTCACTGGATAGCAGTCTGGTCCCAGACAAGTCCAAAGTTGTGTGGTTGTGTTTTATTATGTTCGTGGTCCTCGTTACAGATCTGTCCGTGCTCTGGCGGCTGCGGGGGCGTACTTGGGCATGAGCTCCGTGATTTTGCGGATGAAGTCGGACTTTTCGGCGCAGCCTTTGCAGGACTCGCCCCACTCCTCCAGAATCTTCTTCAGGTCCTTCACTTTAAGCTTTTTCAGGTCCACCGTGGTCAGGTCCAGCTGTTTGTCTACATGGGACACACAAGAAAAAAGACACACAATGAATCGGCTGCTGGGAGTTAAAGGTTGTGGAGTTTTTAACCTCCAGCAGAGGTTTTTATTATCAGTGGCTCCACATTTTGCTGATTTTAATGAGGAAGGAAATGCATTTAACATGTTTGTGAGACTTCAAGGAAACACACATTGTGTTTTGTGGTTAATAGGAAGGTAAAATCACAATACAAATAATATATACTCTTTAAACAGCAGAGGGTGCTACTTTCTACTTTCAGGGTGTAAGAAATATATAACCAGATTATTGCCAATAATCAGCTCTAATCTACTTTGGATTTGATTGACGTCCTCCATCACTCGTCTCAGTAGCTCTATCGAGGCACAAAGAGATCGAGTTTCACTTTTACGAAGAAAAGGAATTATACATTAATAATCTGATAAAGAAAATAGAAGAGTAGATTTTTTGTCTGAGGAATAAAGAAATCTATTCAGTCATAATGCGTCTTCAATTCAATTTAGTTAAAATTAGTGCACCCCTAGAGGTTAACACTGAAAGGAAACAGAGTCTGGGAGTGGATGTGAAGGCACCACCTGAAGCTCAACCTGGAGGAGCTTGTGTTCCTCCAGGGGAGAGGGTCTCCTCCCAGAGACATATCCATCACCACAACAACACCGTGGTGGTGCTAACTCCGACGGCGAGGAACCAGGGAGCGACCCCTCCGTTCTCTGCATCAGGAGGAGTGACCCCTTCCTCACCAGGGAGCCCAGGAGCTCGTCCAGGTGTGCGTCGTCGGAAATTCCTACACCGCGACAGCCCTCCTGCCTCCACTCTGGCAGTTTAAAAAGATGGAAACTTGACAACCTCCTTACCGTATTTTAGTTCACAGATCTGACTGTCCTTCTTCTTGAGTTTCTCACAGATCTTCTCCACTGGGGCGTGGTAGCTGAGGGGCTTGGACACCTCGTTGATAATCTTGGTGGCTGCGTCACTCGTTGCCCCGATGTAGTAACACTGGACACGTAAAATGGGGAGAAAGAAATCTGATTCAGCTGGTTTATAGGGTTAACTGTGTATCAAAGAGGGGATCTCAGCTTCCATCTGTTTCACTCACTCACTCTCCATTAACACGACTAAAGAATATTGAGAGTTTATAACAACAGATTAGTGCTGCATTACACCTGTAGTTTAGTTCATTAGGTGGAGATGGTGTGCAGACCGGCGGGGACAGACTGGGACATTATAATCCCCATATGGATCACGATATAGAACATTTTCTGTAAATTCTAACAATATAATAACAGTTTATATTAAAAGGACCACATGGAAATCTCCCATTGTGACTTATACACTCAACAAATAACAAGGTACCGACTCAGATTTGATTATGCTTCTCCTTTTATTTAGAGTCTTTGTGCAAATATTCAATAAAACATGGAACACCACCCATAAATATGTGTGTCTATTATACATTACTGTCTGGTGACCCATTTAAGCTTTGAGGAGCACAGAGACAGAGAGAGAAAGGAGCTATCAGCTACCCGGAGACGGACAGATCATACAAACACTGACCGGGTAAAGCCTTCGGTACCACGCTGGGTTTACTTGTGATCGTTTCATTAACAACAAGCGTCCTCCACACGAGGCTCACGAGAGACACAGAGAGAGGACGGGCAATCTGATGTGTGTGTGAGAGAGAATCTGTCTGTCTGTCTGTCTGTCTGTCTGTCTATCTGTCTGTCTGTCTCTCTCATCATATCACACAGCATTAAGAAAAGTCTGATGCTTATGGTGATGTTTTTGAATACAATGACCACCTGTCCCAATCTGTAGTTTACTTACAAAGCGGTTTTCTTTGCCTTTAGCATCTCTGCAGGTCTTTACGAGGGCCTTCTCGATGTCTGTGCTGGTGAACTTTACGTCGTTGTCCTTCAGCGACTGGTAAAACTTCCCGAGGAATGTCACACACACTGAAACAAAGAGGAAAACACAGGTAGAGTTTTACTTCACATTGTAGACAACGTCGTCCTTTAGCTGAACAGAGTTTATTAGATGATGCAGATACTTGTGATTGGGTGTTTTCTGTCCCGATGGTTCAACTTTTACCGGCTGGAAGTTTAATCCTCGTGTTAGTGAAACGCCATGTTCAGTCTTTGTGTTTTTAAAGTGATTAACACGTAAATATAACATCCAGAGCTCAAACAATGAAGCAATTCATCTGTTTGATAGCAGATAATAAATGATAATGATAAACACTGAACACAGGGCCACCGTAGTTTCTCCCCCTCAGTGGGTTTCAGTTAGCTTCAGTCTGCAAGGGCCCCACTACATCCTACAGACGGGTCCTTTAAATATTCTCTGTGAACTCGTATCAGTGAAATCCTTACAGAGAACTTCAGCTCAAATATTCACAACATCAGCGTCTGATATCGGGGGGGGTAGCTCACCTGGTAGCTCACCTGGTAGAACCGCCCTCTACGTATGATGAGACCTTACCGGGTCAACCTGTGGCTCTTTGCTTTTACAGATGTTCACTTTGTTCAGCACTCTGGTTGTTTTAAAGGTTTATAAATAAACTGGAGTTGATCAATATCTTCAGACTTTACAATTATTACTTTGTCACATTCTCTAATCTGACTTTAATCTATAATCATTATTTAACCTGCTGCTTTTATATTTAAACAAAGAGAACATCGACCGTTGTTCATTACAGAAACTACACATCTGTTTTCTGTTTCATTAAAGTGTATTATGGGCTGTACCACTGTACCGCTGTACCACTGTACCACTGTACCGCTGTACCACTGTACCGTACCACTGTACCACTGTACCGTACCGCTGTACCACTGTACCGTACCACTGTACCACTGTACCACTGTACCGTACCACTGTACCACTGTACCACTGTACCGTACCACTGTACCACTGTACCCCTGTACCCCTGTACCGCTGTACCGTACCACTGTACCGTACCGCGTACCGTAGCGTACCCCTGTACCACTGTACTGTACCGTACCGTACCGTACCACTGTACCACTGTACCCCTGTACCGCTGTACCCCTCTGTACCGTACCCCTGTACCACTGTACCGTCCCTGTACCCCTGTACCATTGTACGGCTGTACCACTGTACCGTACCCCTGTACCGCTGTACCATTGTACCGCTGTACCACTGTACCGTACCGTACCACTGTACCACTGTACCCCTGTACCACTGTACCCCTGTAACCGTACCACTGTACCACTGTACCACTGTACCACTGTACCACCGTACCGCTGTACCACTGTACCCCTGTACCACTGTACCACTGTACCTCTGTACCGGTCCCATGTTCCTGTATGAGTATTACAGACACACAGCTCCCGGTACCGGTGCCGGTCCATTAACAGATATCTGTGCTCCTCACAGACCCTCCAGTCCCCGGTCCCGGTGCCGGTACCGGGCCCGGCTCTGTGCCCCTGTAGCAGCGGTTCTGCAGTGAGCTAACAGCTAGCATCCTACCTTCACAGTCTCGGTCCCGCGCGGCTTCACCGGAACCGGGAACCAGCGCGAGCGCGAGCGCCACCGACAGCCCGCTGAAACACAGCATCTCTGCGCGAGCTCCGACTGGTCGTACGGTAATCTTTAACGGCTGCTAACGGAGGAACACTCGCTCGGGTCTGTGCTCATGGGTCGGTACCGCCTCGGTACAGACGCCGGTAAAAGTGAGCGCGCAGCTGATTGCACGGGCTATTTCCGGTGCCACGTCACACTATGCCGGCCGCCTATTGGTCGAGAGGTGCGACTCTTCCTGTAGTCCTCCACGCACTTCGCTCTGATTGGTCGGAGACGGAACATTCCGGGAACAACGTCCAGTTGGCGCCGTGTGATTGGTCCACATGTGAGGAAGAGGACGCGTTAACAAAATAAAGTAAAATAATATAATAATAGAAATAAATACTAAATACTCACATTAATAATTAATAATTAATAAACAAGAGTGTTTGTTATTATTATTGTTTATTATTGTCTTTATACAATAAAACAGAGCTTTTCAAACCGTGTGTTCTCACTCTGTAAACATTTATATTTATTCACTAACACCAGATAAACACTGACAAACAATTATCACTCATTCAATATTTATTGAACATTAATTTAAGAATTGAAACTTTGCAGCATGGCAGCATCAAACCTGCACTACACCCATTAGGTTAGGGATTTTAATTTTAGTTTAATGTATGTTTTGTATTTTGTATGCTACTGGATACTTGAATTTCCCTCGGGATCTATCTATCTATCTATCTATCTATCTATCTATCTATCTATCTATCTATCTATCACTATCATCACTATCATCATCATCATCACATCATCCTCTATCTATCTATCTATCTATTTAGCCTGGTAGGTTACAGATGAGACAATGGAACAACAAAGTGCTGATATAGTAAAGGTACACTGTTTAACACCTGTATGGTGTTGAGGAATCTCTGTATTTCAAAAACTCATTCCTCGTGCGTTCGTTTAATGAAGCGATAGGAGAAGGGTTTTGAGGTATAAAAATCAGCTTTATTTTAACACCAGTATATTGTACAAAAGTAACAGAGCTCTGGGTTCAACTACGATCAACCTGACATGCACAAGGTCTGCCAGTTCACAAAGTCTGAGCAACCTCTTGTTCCTGACATCAGTTCTTATATTTTTGCAGATAACACACAGATGGTAGAATCTCCACGCCTCGTCCTCTTGGTATCTCGACTCCAAGGATGGTGTTGATGGGATCGCCACAACCTGGAACTCATCGAAAACAGAAAGCGGCCTCTTTTCTGACATTCAGTGACGTATTATCTCACCCTATGTGCATATTAATCAAACCTATGTTTACTCTTTGTACTCTCACTTCCAGACATTAAGTTGTTTTTTAACGACTGGAAGGAGTCCGTCATGTGCTCCATCATTGTTTCTACGAGCTCCTGATACTGACCTCGGAGGCCGTGTTTATATATATATATGTGTTATATCTGCAACTACCCACACTCTTCTCCCTTATACTGTGCCTGCTATTCATATTCATTAGTCAGTTATAATTCTATAACACATCATACAAACATCTAATATTCATTACTTTATTTCTGTTATTAGTATTCCCTTAACAGCCCTTTATCAATGTAAGCACAATCAATGTAAGCACAAGTGAACATATTTCTATTCTAGTTAATAATCATTCAGGTAAATATAAAGAGTATAAATCACAGAATATCGCAGCAATGGTTGTCACTTTATCCCACAGCACCTCAGTGTGTCTGCACACCGGCTGGGAACCACTGCAGTACAGGGTTACAGTTGCTCCACAACTACTGTCAACAGATAATAAAATGAAATTTGAAAACTCAAATAAAATTAAATCAAATACAGTTACAGCGCAAGAATAAGTTGTTAGTTGGCTCCCAAATATAACAATGCTCAGAACTGGGAACAGAGTTAGAAAGAGTTCACATTCATTTGGACACTATTAACAATTGTGTAATGTTTTGTTACATAAGACTAGATCATATTTATATTAAGTGTTATTAAGGGGGAAAGATTATTCTTGTGGTGCCTTATAAGGCTCATACTGAGCCAAGGGCATTAAGACTGTAAATCCTTACTTACTATCAATGTTTAATCAGATCAAATGAATGATTCCTAATTGATTTGTTATTCGACAGCCACATTTTTATGAAAATAATATTAATTCTGGTTTTAAATGAACAATCTCTGTAAAATAAATTAAAGGTCCGGTGTTTAGTTACATCTAGTGGTGTGATTGCAACTCACTCGCTTCACCCTCTCTTTCCACGTGCGAGGGAGACTCTATGGTAAAAAACTCACATGGCCCCATTAAGAGTCAGCGTTTGGTTTGTCCACTGTGGGCTACCGTAGAAACACGGCGGCCTCCACGATAAGATAAAAACAGCTCATTTTAAGGTAACGAAAACACAACAATTCTTATTTTCATTTAAAAAAAAAAAAAATAAAAAAAAATTTTTTTTTTTTTTTTTTATAAAAAAATTTTTTTTTTTTTTAAAATTTAAATTTTAAAAATCAAAAAAAAAAAAATTTTTTATTAAAAAAAAAAAAAAAAAAAGGGTTTTTAATGAAATTTAAAAAAAAAAAAGGTTTAGTAGTTTATTAATAGTTGTTAACAAGTTGAGAACAACTGGGATTGGCTGTTTTTCACAGAAGTGAATCAAATACTGAGATATAAGCCTACTGTGTGTTTTAAAGCCCTTAAAATCAAGAAGGCCTTGTGAACCCCGGTGATGCTTTGGCGACCTCTAGTGGGGGTTCGGACCCTCAGGTTGGGAACCACCGGGCTAAAATATGGTCATGCAGAAGAAGGCACTAAAGCTGCAGGAGGTTTTAAATATTTTATCCTGACAGTAGAACATGAGACAGATATTGTGGCTCCTCCTTTAACAGAAGAACCGGATTTCACAGATTATCTGTAGATATTATTGATCTGTCTTTATATTTATTATCCTGATTTTTAGAGGCTGAAGCACTTTTATCACTTTTATCTTTATCCTTTATCATGTCTGTCTGAGTTGTTTGTTGTCTTTATATATTTGTCCGGAGTAATGCCTTATTTGGTACAAATACAGTAACCTTGAACCTCGTGTCCTACTGTCAGGATACAGTGACAGTTATAACTACTACCTACTGCAGCTTTAATAGGGGCTTTATAATGGCAGCCAACATGCTACTAATATGCATAACTAGTTAATGGTGACCTAAGATATGCAGACTCTCTATTTTTAAAAGTCAAACCTACTTATTCAAGTTTCTTTGTTGTTGTTGTGTAAAAAAAAAATCGATGTATAAACTATCTTTGTATGTATGTGTATGTATATATTCTACCTAATGTGTTTGTTTTAATAACATCAACTGCATTTAATGTATGACAGCTGCTATATAAACACACATGTTATTATTATTATTATTATTATTATAATAGAGAACCCAGGTAGAGAACCAGTGTGTGGCTCTGAGAGAGGTTCTCATATGGATCCAATCTCCTGTGCCAAGCATTGTTCTCCAACAGCAGCCTGTCTGTCGGGATGTTATATAACACCGACGTAACATCGTGTTCCTGGCTCAGATTCTGTGTCCTCGGCCTACAAACGGATGTAAAACACAAACAAACACACTAAAATGTGAATAAACAAACACACTGTGATTACATCGAGTGCGGGTTTATGGAAGCGTATTGCATTCACTTAAAATAAAAACTGTTGGTTTGTTTTTTGGAATAATTACCGTAAAACTTCCAATAAAAGCAGGGTCCCTAATAATCAACAACAAAGTATAACGTTAATTCATTCTGACTTACCGGAAACCAACAAGAGAGACGGAAAACAACCTCTGAAGCATCATAATCATCATGTTAGTTGAACAAAATCTCAAGAGAAGCAGCAGTTAGAGTTTAGTTTAGTTTAGTTTAGTGCTTAAGGGATTAAAGGCCTGTCCCAAATAGAGGCCTGTCCCAAATAGAGGCCTGTCCCCAAATAAAGGCCTGTCCCCAATAAAGGCCTGTCCCCAATAAAGGCCTGTCCCAAATAAAGGCAGGGGGAGTTCAGTGATTTAAGCAAATAAACGCCCGGGCTATTATTAGAAGTTTTATGGTATTTGTGTTTTTCTGAGTAATTTACTTTTTGGTTTGTTTTTCAGAATATTTTTTTTTCTTCTTTTTTTGGGACAAATATTTTTAACTCCGAAAAACAGAAATCATTATTCAGAAAAACAAACCAAAAAATACATATATAAATACATATATATATATTTTCTTTAAAGTTTGCTGTTTTCCAAGCGGCCGTGAACGCGCCCCGCCCCGGTGACGTCGGTGTGTGTTTTGGTGGCTGGTGACGTCAGCGGCGTTGTTGCACAGTCACTGCGGCCGTTGGACAGTCGGACTGTAAACAAGGCCTCCTCCTGCTCCTCCTGCTCCTCCTGCTCCTCCTGATCGATACTCTCCCTGCTCCCCCGCAGCAGGAGACTTCGATTACACCGTTTATTCATCCACGCGCAGTGTTTTTAGTAAATAACGGGGTTTTTTTTCCCGCGGAGACACAAACACGGAGCTAGCCTGTCAAGTCCCGTTAGCTTAGCCGTTAGCCTGTGCGCTAGCCTCGGTGGCTAGCTGACGTCCAGCGGGGTAGTACCCTTTAATGCCCCGGGTTCCCTCTACTGCCCCGGGTTCCCTCTACTGCCCCGGGTTCCCTCTACTGCGACCAGGAGACCCTCCACCGTGAGTACCGCCCTCCGCTGTCTGTCACTACACTAACCCGTTAGCATGGTAGCTTAGCAGCCGAAGTAAGTTGGTAGCATTAGCTAATAGAGAGTGTGTGTGTGTGTGTGTGTGTGTGTGTGTGTGTGTGTGTCTGTGTGTGTGTGTGTGTGTGTGTGTGTGTGTGTGTGTGTGTGTGTCTGTGTGTGTGTGTGTGTGTGTGTGTGTGTGTGTGTGTGTGTGTGTGTGTGTCTCTGTGTGTGTGTGTGTGTGTGTGTGTGTGTGTGTGTGTGTGTGTGTGTGTGTGTGTGTGTGTGTGTGTGTGTGTGTGTGTGTGTGTGTCTGTGTGTGTGTGTGTGTGTGTGTGTGTGTGTGTGTGTGTGTGTGTGTGTGTGTGTGTCTCTGTGTGTGTGTGTGTGTGTGTGTGTGTGTGTGTGTGTGTGTATGTGTGTGTGTGTGTGTGTGTGTCTCTGTGTGTATGTGTGTGTGTGTGTGTGTGTGTGTGTGTGTGTGTGTGTGTGTGTGTGTGTGTGTGTGTGTGTGTGTGTGTGTGTGTGTGTGTGTGTGTGTGTGTGTGTGTGTGTGTGTGTGTGTGTGTGTGTGTGTGTGTGTGTGTGTGTGTGTGTGTGTGTGTGTGTGTGTGTGTGTGTGTGTGTGTGTGTGTGTGTGTGTGTGTGTGTGTGTGTGTGTGTGTGTGTGTGTGTGTGTGTGTGTGTGTGTGTGTGTGTCTGTGTGTGTGTGTGTGTGTGTGTGTGTGTGTGTGTGTGTGTGTGTGTGTGTGTGTGTGTGTGTGTGTGTGTGTGTGTGTGTGTGTGTGTGTGTGTGTGTGTGTGTGTGTGTGTGTGTGTGTGTGTGTGTGTGTGTCTGTGTGTGTGTGTGTGTGTGTGTGTGTGTGTGTGTGTCTGTGTGTGTCTGTGTGTGTCTGTGTGTGTGTGTGTGTGTGTGTGTGTGTGTGTGTGTGTGTGTGTGTGTGTGTGTGTGTGTGTGTGTGTGTGTGTGTGTGTGTGTGTGTGTGTGTGTGTGTGTGTGTGTGTGTGTCTGTGTGTGTGTGTCTGTGTGTGTGTGTCTGTGTGTGTGTCTGTGTGTGTGTGTGTGTGTGTGTGTGTGTGTGTGTGTGTGTGTGTGTGTGTGTGTGTGTGTGTGTGTGTGTGTGTGTGTGTGTGTGTGTGTGTGTGTGTGTGTGTGTGTGTGTGTGTGTGTGTGTGTGTGTGTGTCTGTGTCTCTGTGTGTGTGTGTGTGTGTCTGTGTGTGTGTGTCTGTGTGTGTGTGTGTGTGTGTGTGTGTGTGTGTGTGTGTGTGTGTGTCTGTGTGTGTGTGTTTGTGTGTGTGTGTTGTGTGTGTGTGTGTGTGTGAGTGTGTGTGTGTGTGTGTCTGTGTGTCTCTCTGTGTGTGTGTGTGTCTGTGAGTGTGAGTGTGTGTGTGTGTGTGTGTGTGTGTGTGTGTGTGTGTGTGTGTGTGTGTGTGTGTGTGTGTGTGTGTCTGTGTGTGTGTGTGTGTGTGTGTGTGTGTGTGTGTGTCTGTGTGTGTGTGTGTGTGTGTGTGTGTGTGTGTGTGTGTGTGTGTGTGTGTGTGTGTGTGTGTGTGTGTGTGTCTGTGTGTCTCTCTGTGTGTGTGTGTGTCTGTGAGTGTGAGTGTGTGTGTGTGTGTGTGTGTCTCTGTGTGTGTCTGTGTGTGTCTGTGTGTGTGTGTCTGTGTGTGTGTGTGTGTGTGTGTGTGTGTGTCTCTGTGTGTGTGTGAGAGGGACTGTGTCATTAATTTATTGTGATTAATAAAGTCTCCATAATTAATTGATTATATGTAAATATGAACTTATTAAACTCTGACACACTGTAAATGTACAGTTATCCATCTGGACTGTATTCTACTTTATTGTATGCAGTGTTTATATAATAATAATAATAATAATAATAATAATAATAATAATAATAAATATATAAAACATTCCCCTGTGCTGCCGGGGATCAATAACGGAACATCTTATCTAATCAAATTAAGATCACTACAAATTACAATCCAATAACAATACTTAACTCAAAGTCAACTTATTAGTGACATATTGATCTATTGAGTGTGATCAGTCAGTCAGCTCTCTGGAGGTTTAACAGATTATTTATTCTCTCTCTATATATATAGAGAATAAATAATATATAGTTATATATATATATAAATATATATTTTCTATATATATACAAAATAAATCTGTATGTGTCACATTTCATCGTCTAAACCTAACCAAGCCTCCACCACAGTGGTGTAATATCACCATGGTGACACCAAATATTGGGGCCCAACTCAGATTTAACCCCAAATATTAGTTAATTAATATTTAATGAATGTGGTTGTTTGTGTGTTTTGTGTGTTTTGTGTGTGTGTGTAGCTGGGTGGCTGGTCAGAGCGGCCTCCTCCCACCATGGAGGCAGGAGGGAAGGACTGTGAGGAGGAGACACTGCAGACGGCCTTTAAGAAGCTGAGGGTTGATGCTGAGAGGTAACGAACATTGACTGTTATATATAATATATATATATTATATTATGGGAGATACATGATAGATATAACTCACTCTGACAACAGCTGGGGGGGGTCGAACACACATACTGTCAGACCCCTGTTATATATAAAAGTTAAACTATTCTGCAGCAGTGTGTCCGCTCTAACCTCTTCACGTGGCTGCTGGTTGACTTTCACTGCAGACACAGTGTGGACCGGGCTTTAGCCGCCTGTCGACCAACCTGTCTGTCTGCATTGGGTTTGGTACTCTGTTATGTTTCCTGTCAGATATTCCAGCTTCACAGTGGTCAATGCAAGAAGTCCTGGAGTTGATGATTTAAATCACAAGGTAGCAGATAATTCCTGCTTTCAGATCCAGACTGAAGCAGCAGTTTCTGAGTAGTTCACGAATGGAAACTTTAAATTAGCGGTATTGACACTTTGGTGTTTTATGAACAGTTTGTATGTTTCTCTCTCTCTTCTTTCCAGTTTACCCGGAGCTGTGAGTGTTTCAGAGGTGTTGGCTCCCAGAGCGGCGTCGCGTGCTTGTCTCGACGCCAGCGGAGCGAAGCCCAAACTCGGCTGCCCGAAGGACAACTGGCACGGGTAGGTGGACGGGGGGGGGGGGGGTCACTGCTGGTTGGTAGACGTAGAGAGTGTGTAAAAGTTTCAGGTGTAGTCTGTCAAGTTTTTATTATTTTATGTTGTTTTGACAAATGTTTGGACGTAGTTGAGAATGAACTCAGGAGGCGGTTCGGTACTGTGATTGGCCAAAAGTGAAAATCAAAACTATAGATGAAGTCTCTTCACCTCCACAGACCACTTCTTTTTTAAAGGTTTTTAAATATTAAGACTACTCCACACTGTTTAATGTTTTTCCCATCGTTATCTCTCCTCCTCCCTCCCTCCATCTTTAGCTGTATGAGGAAAACTTCCAGAGGAGCATCCAGAACCCAGCGGCGCCGCAGGTCTAAATCCCCCATCCTCCACCCTCCGAAGTTCACCTACTGCAGCACCAGTGCGGCTTCGGCCCTGTCGACCGCCAGCGGCTGCCTGAAGCACCAGCGCCTGGCCGTGCCCGAGCCGGTGGAGCCGCGTCCCGCAGTCGATGGAAGACCGGCGTCCTCTGTAGCTGTCGCGGCCCAGAAAGAGCTCTCTTCTTCAGGCGCTCCCGGCCACCTGTCCCCTCTGGTGTTTGGATCTCGTGCTGGGTATGAGACGCGTATCGGAGCTGTGGTTTCCCCCCGAGAGATCCCCGCTGTTGTCACTACTGCTGCCACCTCAACCAGGCCGGATGGAGGAAGCTCTGGGGAAGCCCAGTCGAGCGAGGAGAGCGGCCCGGAGAAAAGTGCCTGTGACGGAGCAGAGTCTGGAGCCGGAGCGCCTCGGATATCGGGACCCGCAGACGCCGCCGACTTCCGAGTTTTATCAGAGCTCCACAGCAGCGGCTCGGCAGAAGGCCCCCACATTCCCTGCTCCTGCGCCTGGAGAAAGGGGTCCGACTCCCAGGAAGAGAGCGAGCAGGGGGCCGAATCTCAGTGCCAGTGCCGGTCCAATCATCAGGGCTGGGCTGGCGTCGAGGTGTACTCCTTCACGGGGCTCCGCAACGTCATCTCCGAGTGCGAGAGGAGTCTGCCGAGCCACGAGGACACGCCCAGAACTCTCAGCGCCAACAGTAACGCCGCTGCGGCTTCCTCGCCGTCGTCGCTGTCGTCGGGCTCCCCTCGCTCGTGCTCGGAGCAGGCGCGCGCCTACGTCGACGACATCACGATAGAGGACCTTTCTGGCTACATGGAGTATTATCTGTACATCCCCAAGAAGATGTCACACATGGCTGAGATGATGTACACTTAAAGAAAGATTATTATTAGAATATCATAAGGAAATAAGAAAGGTAAAGAGGATCTTTTTGTTGTTGTTGATGGAAATTGACCTCAAAGGAATGTCAGTAGTGGGTAGAAGTACAGATCAGGCATGAAATTTAAATATACAACATTAACTGATTTAACCCAGGTTGAAATGTCCCCCCCCCCGTTTCAATCAAACTGACAGAAGCAAATTACCACCAACTATTTCTCGTTAGTTTTGACCTTTCACCCCTTCCTTCCTCCCTTTTTTTGTGCTACATTTAAATTTAATTTTCAGTTTACAGATGAAGTTGCCAAAGCTCTTGGTGTGCAGGCTCCTGCAGGAGGAGTAATAGGAACTTGTGCTGCCAGGTGTTTGTGGTGGTGACCTTGAATGTCACCTGTCTGGATTTCATTTCATTCAATAAAGAAGCAAACTGTGTTTGTTGGAACGTTTGTCGTCGTGTGGAGTCTTCCTTCTTGTGATTCTTTGACACTTTTACACCTAAATGTACAATAATGTCTCTCTCACACCCAAACAATAACAAAAGTCTGATGACAGTGTGAAGCAGCGTTTGATTCCTTCTGGAGGTTTCTACCTGGAGCTCAGTTATACACTAAAACAGACAGTTCCACATTAAAAATCTGTTTCTCAGTGGAGGTTATAATGTGGAAACTTTACATGTTCTAGCTTTAAGTCTGTAAGATTATTTAAGACTTTAGTCGGTTGAACAGATACAGATGATGTGCTCGCTCTGCAGCATCGTGCCATTATCTAAAGGAATATTGGGAAATACACTGATTCTGCTTTCTTGTTAAGATTTAGATGAAGATTAAGCACATAAGCAAATTTCCCAAACATGTGCTCTACATATTGTAAATAATACCCGTTAATACCCGTATGTGAGGTTGCAGTAGAGACCGGGAGTTCCCCCTGTGGTTTCACACCACTTCATACAGACACAAACAGTACAGTCTGTGGTGAGTCTTCACCTCGTTTCTCCTCAGTGAGAGAGAGTTCGACATTCACTTATTGTTAACACTCATCCACCAGTGTTTCTCCAAAGGGTAGGCTGGTTTTTCTATCTTTAGACGAGTGGGTTTCAACCTTTCTGGAGTCAAAGACGCCCAAATTGATACGGATGAGGACGCATATTTAGTAAGATGTACTCTAATGATAAGATTGAGTTATTCCATGTGTATTCCAGTGAGGAGTGTGAAACCTATGAACACAGTAGCCATTCTTATAAACTCTCTCACTGGTGTAACTTTTAGTCGGTGAAAGAATTGTGAAATTAAAATATTCCCCATTTTTCTGGGGACGTAATAACCTTGAGTGACTTCCATGTGTAGTTCCATGTAAATGAACTCTTTGCACACTCGACATTTAATGCTGTTTGCCTCTTTAAAACGTCCACCGTGTACTTTTAGGTACTTTTCTGAGTTTCTGGGGAAACTCGAAGACGTTCATTCGAGGAGCGACGGTGCGTTTTCAGTAAGGAAATAACACTGCTTCCTTTCAAGTGCACTCCAACCAACCACATCAGAGATCTTTAGTTTTGGCTTCAGCTACAATAAAGTCAGCAAAGGGTTAACTGGAATATAACCATCGACTGTTGGATCAGCTTTAGACAACTTCTGCATATAAAAGTCTTCATTTAAATCATCATCTGTTGTATTGTTGGTCTCATTCTCAGACTGTACAGTAAACCTGTTTGAATGTGAGAAACTACATTTAGTACTCGAGTACTGTATAGTAGTAGTATAGTATAGTGTTTAGGTACTTTAAGTATATTTTGATGCTGATACTTTTGTGCGTTTACTTAAATTTGTGGTGTCTGTGGCTCAGGTGGTAGTGAGGGTTGTCTACTGACGGTCGGTTGGCGGTTCAAAACCCACCTCCTCCTGTCCCGATTGTCCTCGGGCAGGACACCGAACCCCAGGTTGTCCCCCAGCCGCTGGGGAGGCACCGGCCAAACTGTGCCTGACTGCTGTTCCCAAGCCCAGATAAATGGTGGAGGTTTGGGTCAAGAAGGGAATCCAGTGAAAAAAGCCTCAAATACGCAGATGATCAGATCTCCACGCCGGGTGAAGTGGAGCCCGGTTTCTCAGCGAGAGGGAGAGAATAGTTTGTACACTGTGCTAATGCTACTTTAACTTCAGTAATAGATGTGTGTGCTTCCTCCGTTGTAGTAAATATATAAATAAGTAAGAGATGATATAATCTTAAAGGACCAGTGTGCAGGATTTAGCGGCTCTATCTTGAGTGTTTGGTTTGTCTGTTCTGGGCTACTGTAGAAACATGGTGGTTCAACATGGCGGCCTCTGTGGAAGAGAACCCGCTCTCTGGAGAAAAGGTAACAAAGACACAACGATTCGTATTTTCAGGTGATTAAACGCTATAATAGATCCTCCTACATGTTACACACTGGACCTTTAAGGGTATTTCAGTTTACTGTTGTACTTTTACTTGTAACAGAGTTTGTACACTGTAGTGGTGCTGCTTTAACTCAGTCACAGATATCACTATGAATATGAGGACGAGAACCAATCTCGAAGTAACATAAAGTAAAAGTGAATTAAGATTTTAGATCAATTGTGGGTCTGCTGCTCTCCCAAACATGGCCACCAGGAGGCAGCATTTCCTTTTGCCTCCCTCCGTGTATCTCAGCACACTGTTTGCTCTGTGGGGTTGGACTCACTGCATGATTCAGTTGGGTGTGTCTGTTTTCATTAGTGCCCAGGGATGAAAAAGATCTGTCTATCACGAGCCAACCGGCACACAGTGAAAGGACTGAAGCAATCAGTCGAGTTCCAGACCGACGGAGCTGCACAAAGAGTCCAAACACACAGCTGTTCTCACTCTGAGCCTGTTGGTTTACACTGATTTCTCAATCTCTGCATTTCTCTCTCCCTCCTTCACAGTCTGACACTTTCTTCATCATCTGGTTTCGGTGTCGTCACCTCTTTATTAACTGAATAGAAAGTTAATTGATACAGGTATTCAGTGAACTATGAATTAGTTGGAAACAAGAATAGAAGTAGTGGTGTTAGAAGTACTGTAAGTAAACGTAGCAATACCACAGTGTAAAAACTGTATTTAAATAAAAGTACAATAGAAATTGATTCAACATTTACTTAGAATATTTATTGTGGTCCATTTCAGATTGATGTTATTTCACAACACGAGTCAGATGTTCAACGTGTGACTGAGATTTCTGGGTAATCTCAAATGTCTGAAGTCCAAAATAAATATACGCTGAGGGTCTTATGTTTTAATGTCGCACTGTGTTCACTCACGTATTTCTAAAGCTTTGGGACATAATTCAAACTGGGTCGAGTGTCTGTTTCTCATCAACGCCCGGCAGAAAGCTCCACAGTGAAACCTCATTTACACAATGTGTTTTAAAACTGTCAAAGTTAAATGTGGCAGTAATTATAAACTGCCTTCTGCAGTGCATTTGGTTTCTCTATGTGACGCTTTCATAGACGTAAAGTCTATAATCAGTATTACCTTTAATAAAAAGGTATCAATGAGTATGTTTGTGAAAAAGAATTCACTTTATATTTAAAGTTTTGGTTCACTCTCGGCGCTGTTTTCAGAATAAAAGCAGTAAAAAGCCACTACAGCAGATAGTTTAGTTTAAAGAGAGAGAATATTGGACTCTGTAAGTGCTGGATGTGGAAATGAACAAGTCTCATAACAAGTTCAACAACTAACACAAGATATTTACCATAAACGGTCTCAGCAGAGATCCCACGCACCCCAAACCTGGGCCTGTTCTCCTGCTGCCCTCTGGGTGGCGCTACAGGAGCCTCAGAGTACAACGAGGCTCAGGAACAGCTTATTCCTCTGAGCTGTTTCCCATATGAACCAACTGAAGACTCCTTTATTTACATGCCTTTTACACAGCTTCCGTACAGCCGTGTTTACAATGTCTTTTACACAGTTACATAACCCACACGACCTCTTTAATTCAAGTTCTACAAATGTTATCTTTATCTGTATTTATCTGTATTTATCTGCATTTATTTTATGTTATGTAAGTCTCTATGTCTTCTTGTAAGTCACAAAAAACTCACTGTTGTAGTATCTTTCATTACATTTTATCATAATATTTGATTAATTGTTGCTTTTTTAAATTGTATTTAAAGTGCTTTGTAACTTCCTATGAAAAGAACTATATAATTTTAGAGAAATAATATGAAAACATTGTTTTTCTTTGCTCTGTCCAATAAAGTTGTTTCTACTGCAAACAACTGGACAACAAATCTATTATTGCAGGGTTCAGATGCCACGATACCATTCTTACAGATTTATTATGTTATAATACATTTTGAGAGATTATAAACACTACACCACAAGTAATGGCAGTCTCAGAAATAAATGTGTCAAATTACAAACTGTTTACAGACAGCTATCTGTTTTTGTGTTGCAATTTGTTGTTAACTTCCATTTAACTTCCTTTATTTTCACTTTAGCAGTCCAACAGCAATCAATGCTGACAGAACTCTATATACTTAGTGGACAGAGCTTCAGGCTCTCAAAAGTGACCTGCATTCTTCCCTCAGGCCAGCAGGGGGCGACTCCCTGGCTACAAGAATGTTTATTTTCAACCAAATAGCAAAATAAACTGACTTCTCAGTTGATTTATGAGCTCAGTAAACAGTTTCCTGATGAGTTTCTGGTCTCAGTCTCTAGTTTCAGTCTTCTTCCATACAGCATGATGTTCATTTGAATGATGGTCAGTTAAAAACAGACCATAAAGCAGGGTATGCTTTAGGGGCGGGGCTACCTTGTGATTGACAGCTCATTCTCAGTGAGTCTGTCCAGCTCAACCAAACTCAGATCAAACTGTCAAACAGTGCTGATCAGATATGGATCCACATTTTCCCGCTCGCAGTATATCACCCATCAGCTCTACACTCTTGTCCAAATATGGTCATTTCTGGCTCCGTGAAACCAACATGGTGAAGGACATAGCGTCACATTCACCATCTTAGTTTAGCATGCTAACATTTGCTAATTGGCACCAAATATAAAGTAGAGCTGAGGCTGCTGGGAAAGTCATTAGCTGTGGTCACAAACATAAACTCTGGAACAAATGAAAATGTTGACCCAAGGATGGTGCTGAAAGGTCGGAGGATCACCAATATTATCTAAACGCCATCCTGTGGGGAACAGGAATGTTTGTCCCAAATGTCTTAATAATCCATCTGAGATCTGTTTCACACTGGAGCGGAATGACTCCACTAAATAAAACAAGACCCAATAAAACTGGGTGGAGGATGGTGGAGTCAGGACAACGGCAAACTCTTCTGCAGCTGTAAGAAGTTCAAAGCTGTAAAAAGAGGATTTATAAAACTGTATTGTTTAATGCAGTAGTTCCTCAGAAAAGAAAGCAACACTCAGTCAGACTGTGGGAAATAGAAACTCCCTCTGGAAATGAAACTAA